AATGTCTTAATATGGGAGTTTGCCTTCAGTCCCCCCTCAACATCAAATGCCTTATTTTGACATCAAGCACAGTGGTGCTGCAACATGTCCTGACTGTGATATGGGTATTCATGGTTCCCAGAACCTTTGATCAAAATTTCATGTATCATGACTGGTCAAGAGGTAGGGTGAGGGCAAAACCTTTTTTTTTCTACACTAGCAACCTGGCTCTTGGGATGGTTCTTAGTTAACAACTAAGATGATGAACAAATCTACTAAATATCAGCATGATGATGTAAGCATTTAGCTAATCTGCAAAAGCACAGCCTGGCTGTAGACTCACACTGATAATATCCACAATGTCATGTTTTTTACAAGCCCATTTATAATTTAATAATGTTTGACATGCATCAGATATAAAAAGCTGAGCTTTCAAAATATAGAGGGTCCTTGTCAGAACACCAGGACTGACATTTCAAAATTAGCACTGTCACAATTTAATAGCAATGTCTGATCTGTCCATTTCAACTTCTAGGGGCTACTAGTTGGGCTTAATGTTTTACTTTTGGTGTTACCATTTTAAATTCCAAAAAGGGAAATGTGCTCACCCCTCATAGCAACATGAGCAGACAAGGTAAAATGATGGATTGGGATTGCTCAGCTTTGGCATGAAAAGTGAACATGGGTTTACTGTGTCACAATACAGTATTAACCAGATATAAATTTGATCTCTCAGCCGTAAGTCCCACTCATCTTGCTGGTGGAGACACTTCTTTAAAGTGGCAGACCTTAAGGTTTCAGTCCTGGTTGATTTGGCGACACCTGATAACAGCAAATGCGGGTTAATATTAAAGGTCACAAAATTCTGGGGGCAGCAAAAGCAGCTATTGTCTTTTTGATAAAGAAGTCTGGCAGTAATTGGCCCTTTTTTACATTCTGTGAGCAACTATAATCAGATTTTATGCTGCAAACGACATGAGTCTGCGATGTGAAAGTAGTTACTTCGCTTAGAAGTTGGAGGTGTGCAGTCAGTTGCCTGCAGCTCTCCATCTAACAGCTCACTGTGGCTGCTCCTTCCTGTTCCATTACTCCCTGCAATATTTCAAACTGATCTGCTGTCAAATTTCTTTGACATGACTGACTGCTACCTTGTTCTATAGAACAATAGTAGTCAGTACTAAGGTCACTGACAAACACATTGTATTTCTTGTGATTACTTTATAATAAAGGTTAACTCGTGTTTCACCATTTAAATGTTTTTAATGTGAAGCTACAGCAGTAGGAAATGTTCACTTTGCATTAGCTGTAACTTACAGCATGTTTTCTGTGAATGTCGCCACAGACACCCAGTTCGTAATATTTAAAATCCATCTATCCATCGTCAACAACTTATCCTGCGTAAAAGGGTTGCAGGGGGCTGGAGCCAATCCCAGCTGACATCGAGCGAAAGGCGGGGTACACCCTGGACAGGTCGCCAGTCCATCGCAAGGCCACACATAGACGAACAACCACACATGCTCACACTCACACCTAAGGACAATTTAGGGTCACCAGTTAACCTAGTCCGCATGTCTTTGGACGGTGGGAGGAAGCAGGAGCACCCAGAGAGAACCCACGCAGACACGGGGACAACATGCAAACTCCACACAGAAAGGCCGTGGGCAACCTGGGTTTAAACGCACGACCTTCTTGCTGTGAGGCGACAGTGCTAACCACTGCACCACCGTGCCACCCAATATTTAAAATATAAAGATTAATTATACTTTCACCTGACAGCCATCGGCAATAGATGGTGACTTTGATTAAGAGGCACTAATTTAAATTCTGTAACTATTACTGTATTAATGTGTTTATTATTTGTTTATTTGATTCCAGTTTCTTGTCAAATGTTTCTGTTTTACATATTCAAAATAAACACTCAAATACTAAAATGAAAATCTTCAAGATTGTTACTTTAAAGCAACATTATGTAGTAATTTTATCTTAAAATAACAGTTTCAGTATATTTTGATGATACACTGACTTGAAGGAGGGAGAATGGCGTCTCTGTCATTGCCACTCCAGGCCCGGAGCGCCTGGTATGGCACTATGTAGCATTGGAATCCCAGGCTGAAGAGCTTTTGTGACGACTTTATGCTTTACTGCACCATGTCACACACCAACACGACTCTACGCAAGCAAGCTATAAGAAGAAGCAAAACGTAGCAAAAGGTCTGCATTTTAAAACAAAAACGTAGTAGTGTGGATGTAGCCTTAGGCCTGCTCTTTGTGTGCAGGCTGCTTTCAGGCTTTTTATTTTCCATGTAGGTCTCTCTCTCTCTCTCTCTCTGTTCTCATACTGTCTAGTCCCAACACGTTTTTACCATAAAATATCAGCTGGTGGAGAGTGGCGCCTGTGTAGTGCCAAAGCTAGGATATGGGCAACAGCAGCCTCTATGGACATAATTAGTTAGCTAATAGCAGAGGCAACGAAACTGAAGAGGACGGTGATGGAGCAAGCCTAGAGGAGAAAAAATGCAAGAGGCTGCTGGATGTTGGTGAGAACTACTTGCTATGTCTTGTGTTTCACACTTGCTTGATGTTAGACTGTGTTGCTTGTTTTTGATGCTAGTTTTGGGTAATGAGTAACAGCTGTATCTACGACAGCGGTGAATAACACAAAATTACACATAATGTTGCTGCTAATGAGGTGACCAAATCCTTTAAAGCTACATAAGATAAACTGTTTCAGCTCCAGATGACACGTCTACCATGATCAGCATGTTCGTTATTTTTTGTCAGAAGGTTAGAGTGAGAAAGTAGTATAAGTTACACTCTTTGTTATATTTAGCAGGAGTACATTTGGGTCTGACTGGTTTGTAGTCAGACAATCTGTACAACATGCCCAGATTTTAATAATACATTGCCTCTACAAATCAAACTCATTCACAGAGATAACGCTTTGCTTTCAGCAAAACTGAGCAGCGACTGTGGCTAAGTGAGCAGGGCAGAATGTGTGTTGACACTGGTCACATAACCCCTTGAGGTCAGCAGACATACATCCACCTTACACACACACACACACACACACACACACAAAAAAAATCTACACACAGAGTTGAAAATTAGTTTTCTGGAGCAATATACGGCAAAAAGCGCAATCTGCAGCAGGTCACAGGGGTATCCAAGAGCCCTAGAGACTTTCAGAGCAGGCGTGGCCTCAGTTTGGATCTATTAGTGTGTGTAGAAAGGGTAAAGCGCACCAGCAGGTCACAGCACTTTCTCTCCTTCTCATCACACCAAAGAAGGTAGACAACAGAGCCTACCAAAACCAGTAATTAATTTGCTTCGTTATTATTTAATAGTGAATGAGAAGAGTTCCTATTTAACTTTTCTGTCTGGAACATTGGGAAGTCATTATAAGCTAAAATAATACTTATCGGCCAAATGCCTTACATTTTGTTCTCATCATTCTTCATGGGCCACAGAATGAAGTCGTCACGGTGATGTTACATTCTGACAGAAATCCTTGAGACTTCCACGAATCTCTGGGGAAGTAATGCTGCCCTTATCAAATGAAGCAAAGCAGCAAGGTCCCCTTACACTTTGATACAACACTGACAGAATACTGATAGATATATCTATTTGGATAGCTGTCAATAATTAAATTTATTTAGTTATGAAGGTCATTCATAGAATATGACTGATGACTATTATCAATCATCTAAATGCATCGCAGGGTCTACTTGGAGTATTCATAATAAATGAAGGGGATAGCTCTTGTGGAGAGATGAAAAGAATAAAAAGGTGGACAAGCTGTTTGGATAACAGCACTTTGTGACACTAATAACTGTTAATATTGCTTTCCTTCTGATTACCTACTGAAATTAGATAAATTGCCATGCTAACCTAAAACACTGCCACCCATTCATCAAATATGTATATAAACAGGTTTGTCTTAAATCCTGGAAGAAAACATTTGCCTTATTATCAGCAGTCTATTAGATACGCACAAAGATGGAATCCTTAGTTAAAAGATGCAAACAGATTTCCCAGTTTACTCTTATGATCTGTGCAAATTGGATGTGGTTATATGAAGCCTTTTCTCTAAAAGTTGCAGACAAATGATTAAATTCTTTGATGAATGAATTTGTGCTCCGGAAATCCAGTGTTGTGACACAATGTCTTATGGGAATAATATTTCTTGTCTCTAAAGATCATGGTAAACAAATTGTTTAATTGCAGTAAAAAAATCACATTTGCCAGACTTTGCCCATTATTTCTGTAATATTTCCTGTTATCTCTATCCCTGCACAAGTGTGACAAGTTTTATAGTTAAGTTCTGCTCTGAGACATTAACCACTAACAAGCACAAAGGGCAAAACAAGAATGCAATCGGAAAGCCAAATAATATCAAGCAATCAATTTATCAAATTTTTAAGTCATATATTTATAATATATATATGCGAGTTAATCAACACTATAATGCACCGTCTTTCTTGTGTTTAGCGGCTCACCTTGAAAAGAACAAGAGAATGAGAAAATGTCCAGATTTTATTGTTTGTTGATTATGGATTAACCAACAGATGGGGCTAAAAGAAATGTGTATACATGTACATCATGCATACAAAAATGTGACAGGTTTCATTTCATTCATTTGCTCAGAAAGATACCGCACTAAATCAAACTTTGAGTTAATTACAAAAGGACATATTTCACATATTTATAAATAATAAATATCTTAATTTAACCTCAAGTGATTTAGAATTCATTCTGTGCATGTTTGGAGTTAATTAATAAAAGTTTATTCAAAAGAATGTTAATTAATTGTCTTTGTTTGTGTCTGTGTGCTCCCTTGGTATCTTCCCTGCATCCTTTTAGTTAGTCCCAATTAAAACACTACACAACAGTTAGGACGGCTAGGATGTACTGTTCGTCTGTTGCAAAGTTTCGCAACAGCAGCTTTCACCGCAAAGTTTTAGCACTCAAATGACTCACTCTTGTCTCTGTGTGGCTTCCTGTAAAGATATGTCATCCTGTTCTGTCTCTCTCTTTAACCTCAGTCAACTGTCTACTGTTTCTGTCGTTGTTGAATCCCTCAATGGATTCGGGCTGATTCTAATGCATTTGGGGAGCTCAGATATGGCTGGAAGTGCACTGGGAACGGTCCTCTCTCTCCTGCTCTTCGCCTCTATTATACAAGGTAATCCTGGACCACATGTGCTGTTGCTCGTATAATATACCAGCAAAGATGGGATATTCACCATGGGTTTCAAATGTGTATTGGCTTCTGGTTAGACAAGCTGCCTCAGTATAATGCTCTGATTTTATCTGCCTGCATCCCAGCGGACTGCAGTCTGTAATATCAACTTCAAAGTGTAAGTGATGTTGTCTCCTCACTTTTCCTGCTTCCAATGCTATCTGATGTGCTTGACAGGGCTCCGGGATTTTCAGGTGTTCCATATTGAAAAGATGGAGGCAGTAGTGGGCCAGACTGTTACCTTACCCTGTATTGTAAAAAACAGTACCAATCTCCAGATTGTCAGTATTGAATGGAGTAAGAACAAAAATAACAACGCAAAGCTGGCTGTGTTCAGCAAAGGGTTTGGAACCCATCTATTTTGGCCTAATGTCACCATCCAGAGCTTGTCAATGGGCTCCTATCTACACCTTTCTAATGTGGCGAAATGGGACAGTGGCATCTATATTTGTGACATCACAAGTTTTCCTCGGGGCTCCATCAGGAGCGAAACAGAGCTAAAGATCAAAGGTAAGACAAAGGCAAGTACGTGCAAAGCCATACCTGTATACCTCAAACACGCACTGCAGTGTTCCCAGGATTTATTTGGCTAGTGATGTGCAGTAACTTTGTATCTTATTGTCCATTGCATATATTTAATGTTACTGCTGATTGCATCAGAGTGCTGCTCCTCTGCCAATCTCAGCAGTTATTTACTTCTGAGCAAATGTATGTAATAATTGCAAAAATGCATCAAAGAGCTTTGTGTGCCCTGAGACATTTACTTTCATCCCTCTGTTTGGCCTGTTATTATAGATTAAGGTAAAGCTTTATTGATCCCTGGGAAGGGGCTAAAGCTACTTTGTAAATAAAGTACATAAAGGTTAATGCACCAATAATTATAATCCAATGATATCAAAAACATTAGGAAAAAATACTTATGAGTATTTGTACACTCTGGAATTGCTATGTTTGCTTAAAAGTCTGTAAAAGATCTGAGTACCTCTTCAACCACTGCAACAGAGGACAATTAAATTAGGTGTTTATGTATTGCATCTGACTTACAGTAGTCAGTAATCTTTTGCTGATAGCAGTCACTTCCTGTATTCACTTTACAGCAGACGTTTTGCATGAGCAGTCTTGAGTGGTCAATCCAAATTAACCTCACATTTCTTGATTAGATGCCGATGTGGAAATAATGTGTGATGTAAACAGCACTGTTGAGGTCCATACTGGAGAAAATGTGACCATTCACTGCATATCATTCCCTAATACAGAGTACAGGTGGACAAAGGTAAGGGAAAACACTTAATCAGCCCATTTCTGCCATTCTAGTCAATTTCACTTCATTCTTCCAACGTCAAGATGATTGATTACCTCTGACATCAAACCCTACAATACAAAAACATATTTTCAATATGAAAAGTATTTATATGCTACATAATCTTGTTTTGTCCTAGAATGAGACACTGGTGTCAGAGAAAGCATCTCTGGAGCTCTGGTGGGTGACGGATTCTCACACAGGGGTTTATGCACTGACTGTCACCACAGGATACAAAAGTCTGCATAAAGAGTTTACCGTCACAGTGCTAACAGCAACCACAAGCTTAAGGACAGGTGAGCTTCTACAATTCTTTGCCACTATTTCTCTCTTTGTGCCGCACTCAATTTCAGCATTTCCTCAGGGTGGGATTAACAATCTAGTAAAGAGCCCAAGAGACTGAATGACTTAATAAACTGCACTGGACCAGAGAGCTGATACTTGACTTTTGTTATTATACTGTAGCTCCCTCAATTTTAATTTTTAATTAGCTTAAAGGAAAATGAGAGAGATTCAAAGGATTTCAAAGCTGCCAGCCATGTTATGAGAACATACTGTGAAGTAACTGTGAATAAATTGGGAACTACAGAATTTTAAGAGTGAAACTCCCCAATTATTTGCTGCAAATCAATTGCCCCATGGGATTCAGGGTTAATACTGAACTTAGCTGAACTAACACTGGTGATATAGCTTGGTATGGTGCTGTGAGTGGGCTGCGCTTAAGTAGGAAAACATTGCCTGTCTGTCTACTTTCTCATCCTGCATACATGTCTCTCATGAGAATTTGAATATGTATTAAAAGGGGGGAAAATCAGAAGTTACTTCTTGTTCTTCCTGTCTTTGTACTTTCAAACCACAAGAACAAACAAACTCGTCTTAACAGCATGTCTGAATCATGACATGGGGTGAGAGCACAATCTGTTGGACAGAAAGGAGTAGTACAGCCCAAATGACGGTTTGAAAAAATACTGAGATAAGTTGCTTGAGACGGACACAATGTTGTATTAGATCAGATTGCATGGCAGCATTGGATTACATTTAACATGCTTGTGAATTAGCAAATTTGGCAACATTTAAATATCTCATTGGTGTCTCATTGGAGATGTAAAGGGAATTATTGATAGATTGTTCAAGGTGTATGTATGCATGTGGGTATGCATGGTAGAAATAAATAGTAGTAAATAAGTGACAAATAATGGATTAATGGCACTCATTACTTGTGAATACATATACCCCATAATGTTGAATTTGCACTTCATGCCCACACCTTTGCTTCAAGAATCTGTGCACATGGCTTCAAGCTCTAGGTTCTTGAAAGAGCTCTTTGCCTTAATTTACCTATTGATTATGCAGTGCTCATAAATGCCAACTCGTCCATGTTATAATGATGTATCACAGTGCATTGGGTACTTTAATGTGGTGCATTACTTATACTTCCTACTCAGTATTCAGCTTTCCAATGCGAAGCTCAAAAACCGAAGTGTAAAAACGACAACTGCTATTTGACAGGGGATTGTGTGCCGCACTGTTTCTGAGCAGTTGCCAAGCAACCAGCGAAGACTCCAGGACCTTACCGCTCCTCGTAAAGAAATAGTTCCAGGACAAAACACCCTGTAAAACCATAACTTGTCAGTTCTACATTTCTGTTTGTTTGGATTAAACAAACTAGATAGAATATGTTAAAAAAAAAACTTTAGAATTGCAGGTTAGCTGTTACCTTTTTTACGTAGCCCACATTTTTACCATACAAAAATGAGGCAAGAAAGCTATTAAGCATATTTCCTACCACATGGAACTATGCCATTACCTAGAATGCCCCTATTCATGTACAAACAGATTCCTATGTGATGGACAGGCTACATTTTGTTTTCCATGTCAGGTATTTCTTTATGTTAGCACTGTGGGGTTCCAAGAAAGTATGTTTTTGATTCTGCAGTGACACCATCAAAACAGCACAGTTACACTGTTGCTGACAGCGTGTCTATTGTGAGTTCTTTGTTTTTCTACTTTCAGATCTCGTGACAGTGTTGCCTCAGTCCAATGCAACTGTGCAGGGTTTGATCAGATCAACAGGACGTGGCCATACTACATCACCGACCACTGGGCTTTCAACAACTGATACCAATGTAACGTGGACCATGAGTACGGGCATTGATGTAACAGAAGATCCAAATCCTAGCAAATCTACAATCACAGCTGCACAGCGTCTTACACACACCAGCGTCACATCACCCCCTGCCTCATACACTGACCTCTATCACTCAAACAACACCAGTGATCTTGAGATAAACCCGACTCACAGTTTAAACACATCCACTTTTTCTGACCAATCAGTGACCAGCAACCTATCCACAACATTGAGTTATAACAGTAAGGTGTTGAGATCAACACAGGAGATAAGGAATCAGTCCATGGGAACCATCGTGGAAAACTCTGACAGTCCTGGTGCAACCCAAACCCTGACTACTGGGACTGAGAATAAAGGTAATAATTACTTACTATTACTGTTGCTCAGTGTTCATAGGATCAGTTACGCATTTCCAGTTTATATCTGGGACCCGAATGATCCATTATCCCTTTTGTTTGCCTGATATTGGCTTTTTATTGTGATGCTCTCAGATTGTTTTGAGCACATCATTTGCTCTGCAGACTGCCAACTGTGGTTAGCTTTGTTTGTGTCTGTTGAAGTGAGGCGAGCAGCCGCAGTGCCGGAAAGTAAACAGTAAAATCTGTAAGTACCTGAAAACAGAGCACAATGCTCAAACAGACCTCTTGAAAGCTACAGATGCATATTAGCCACAGCTTCGTTACCTTCACCATCTGCATCTTCATCATATGCGGAGGCCTGACAGATTCCAGTTTTTCTAAGCCTCAGGCTATAGATGCCTTTTTCATGGTACAAATCTCTGTCAACTTCTGGGGTCGGAGTCTGACAAGCTGAGGGGGAGGAACGGAGACACACTTTTCTGCCTCAAGGCAAAAAGTTTCACATCATAGCTTTACATTTATTATCAATATGTGTTGGAGTCTGCTGGGTTTTACCAGAGCAAGCTGATCAATATCTTAGAAACACACATTTAGCTGTTGGTGTCCTCCAAAATGACACTTTCCCCCTCTCTGAATCTGCTTCTTAGATACTGATGGTGTACGGAGTCATCTGTGGTTGGTGTTAATCATCGCTCCAATGCTGGTATTGATCGCTGTGGCTGGTATTCTCTGCAGGAGAAAAATTATAAAGCAGAGGTAAAAACTCCCGTTACCTGTCCATTCAAGCACCCTATAGACCTGTCTGCACTTGTTCACCGTCATGCACTAGGTGACCCTGAAAGACATGGAAAATATTGATATTTCTCTTTATTCCTGATAGATACCCATGACCTATAATATCTGCATGCTAACTTTCTAGCATTGTCACCAGTAAATATTTGTGCTCTCTCTGTAGGATGGATCTACCACCTCCATTTAAACCCCCACCTCCTCCAATCAAGTACACAGCTGCAAGACACCGCGAGCCTTTCCCCACTTCAAGGTGTAACTCGATAACAGATCTCACAGATATGGGACAAAAGTGTACTTATATATAATCTCTAATGAGTTGATAAATTACATGCAGTAATTCATTGAGGGGATGAGGGGGTGTTTCCTGTCTTGGTTACGTGCAGAATTACAAAATGTCTTGCTTTTAGTTGTGGTCAGTTTTGAACTGCAGTTACAATACAGTTGCAGGCAACTGTTCAAATGTGGGATGTGTGTATATCTGGGGTGAGTGTGTTGGGTTTCTATGCTACTGTGTATTAAATGTTTTTGTGGTTTTAATTTTTTTTCTAACAAATGTATTCAAATTAATGATAAAGTTAGAAAATAAAAGCTTGCTTAAATTGACTGAACTACTACCCTGCAGGTGCTTGTGTTATTTACTTTTTCTTAACATTCTCACAATACTATTTATTGTGCTTTTATAATGTAGTCATTTGAAGTCCCAGCTATTTTCTCTTGTGCTGCAGTAAACAAGCATTCTATTTTCACAGAAACACAACTGTTTAAACCTTATGGCTGATTTATTTTTGGTGTCCTTTACAGATCTGTTGTAATGCTGGCTTTCAGCTGTGATTTAGGATTTCCTTTCAGTGACTTCCTCTAATGTATCTGCTGTGCTGATGTTGCAAATTGAGTGAAGGCTCTAAATCAAAGACCAGTGTTGTCCACATGTACCACAGAGTGATGCTTCAGTTTACAAAGCGGGGCTTAAACCACAAACCACATTGGCTAAATGGCTAACGAACGGGTGTTAGTATTAGTTAGTAATAGTATTGATTGTCATATTTTTGAGTATTTACCGGTTTTATTCATAATTTTTTTAGTCCTGTGTGTTAATTTACTTTGAAAATTGAATTTGCACACCAAATTAAATGGACCCTCAATTTGGTTTCTCAGTAACATTTTTCTTCAGCCACACTGTACACACACACACACACACACACATGTTCCACTATCCCTCTAGGGACATTTCATTGAAATAATGCATTCCCTTGCCGCTTACCCTAACTTTAATCATCACAACTACATGCCTATGCCTAACCCTAGCCCTAATCTTCACCTAATTTTGACCCTTAACCCTAAAAACAAGTCTTATCCCTCAAACAGCCCTTTAAACTTGTGGGGTCTGGCATTTTGGTCCTCATAAAGCTGTCGGACCCCACAAGTATAGTGAGATCCCGGTTTTTTAACCCCTCGACTATAGTAAAACAAGCCGACACACACACAAACACACAAACACAATCATGTATTTAGCTGTACTGAAAAACTTTTCACAACTACATTTCTTTCTTCTAATTTCCAACCACAGTAACCAAACCACAACGTACTGTGTAAATGCAAGATATGCCTTCTTGACATGCACAGCTCTGAAGCCCCGTTCACACAGACAATGCATACAAAATAAATAAAGGTCTATTGTATAGTACTGTACTTAGAGTTAAAACTTGGTTTTAGGGTTAAGTTCAGATCAAGTTTAGAACATTTGGGCTAGGCTTAGGGTTTAATTGTTTTTTGTTTTTGAAAAATATTTTAAAATCCATTGCTGACACATAAGTTGAGTGAAAGTTAGGGTGAAATTTATGTTTGTTTTTTATTTTATTTTTTGTTTCTGTATTTAAAAAAAATTACATTTTTAAATGAATATTAAAGTTCTTAACAGATGTTTATAAACTATTGTCATCTTCAGATAGTAATAAAGTGATCTATTTGAAATCGTATTGTATCTCACAATAGTATTGCGACTGCGTGCCTCGGAATGAGGTTACGTTGTTTCCTGTTTGTAACTGAAGAGAAGCCAGTTTTCAAAGTGTTGTGATAAGAAAGAGGTACCTAAGGCAAGGTAAAAATAGACTACAGCGTAGCTCACTGTCTAAACACTGTGATGCCCTGTAGCCTGAGAGCATTCGTGTCAGACAGACAACCCGTTTTGTTCAAGACGGCTGGAATATGAACGGTAGGATAAGAACAACTTCTGGAACTAAAATTATTCATTTACATTTTCAAACTTGTATATAATATTACAACACTGTACTTATCCTTATCCGTAAGAACAATTCTGCAAAATGTTTCTTTTACCACAAAAACTAAGAAAAAGCTAAATCAGCATATGTCACAGAATACGGCAGAACAAAAGGTAAAAGTAAAGGCTGGAGGCTTAAAATGAGTTGATAATCTAAATTTATGTAAGTAATGGTATATTTCTCCGTTTATTGTAGTTTAGTAGTATCCACATATAACCTTACAAATTGACAATAAAACTGTGGTTACAATGGGAAGAATGAATATCCGGTTAAATGTGTCAGTACTGTTTAGTTGAAGCTTGTACATTACATATTTCCATAAAGACAATATTGTTTTGGTTTGTTGTGTTTTTTTACAAATCATCTTTTAGACTCTAGACTAGTTTTAAAAAAACATTCTTAGATGTTCCGTATGCTGTAGCTCACGGTAGATAAGATTACACTATAATTTTAGAATGGCCCTAACATTCTTTAATGGTTGCAACTTTCTCTGTTTTTGCTTTAATTTCCCACCTTAAAGTTCAGGGATTGTCTAGTATTGCTAAAAACATTTGCATGTTTGTGTGTCATCAGAGTAAAAGTCAGGACGCATTTAAAAAAAGTTTCATCTTTTCTTTTTGTTTTTGAGATGTACAGAGGGGAATTCCAAACTATATTAGTAATAGCTGATAAAAAAGTCTGAAAGTCTACTCACTGATTAAGAAAACTCTTCACAATCAATTCCCACTGACAGTAGTTTAAAGGTTTGAGGTGTTAATAGTCAGTTTGTGTTTTGTCTTTTAGGTTGTCAAACTGAACTGATATGTCTGGTGCTGTTGTCTCTGGCCTTGTTGATCTCTTTGTGTCTCAATGTCATCTTCTGCATTAAACGAAGATCCATTTTGTGCAAAGGTATGGTTATATGTAAAGTAACTTTTTGGGTCACAATGTTTGTTTTGTTTTTTTATTCAAAATATTTCAGCTTTTACAAGGACAACAGGGTATTCCATAAATTGCTAAATATTTTTTTTTCATACAGACACAAAAGAGTGCTGCCACCCAGACAATCATGACGGAGAAAGGTATGCTTTTTATTTCATTTTTTTGAATGAGGCTAAAACATGTGTGCATATCAGTCAGTATTTATCTTAATTTGTAATAAATAATAATAGATATTCCAATATTTCTAATTTACATCTACAAATTACATCTTATTGTAGAAATAACCTCAGAAATTGTTCCTCCATATCTTGTCGAAGGCCGCCACAGGATGAAGGGCAATATTTTCATAACCTCAATCATCATGAGCAGCAGGAAAATCCCCACAATCATCATGAGCAACAGGAAAATCCAATCTACGGCAACATCAGCACAGACAGAAGAGGTGAGAGCAGGCCTACAGTCTGTCACCTTTTAAAAAAAATTTAAACTGAAAATCACTGCATTTTTATGGAATAAAAAAATTTTTTTTTTACTTTAATTTTAATAAGGTTGTTTCCTTTTTCTGTATTTGTAGACTATGTTTTTTTTTGCAAATGCCTCATGGCTGAGTTTTAAAAACAGTCGAAATGTGCGTTGAAACAAGCTGAAAGTTCATTTGGATCAATTCCTTGCATGTTACGCTTATAATAATTCATTTATATAAAACTGTAGAGATTTCCTTTACACCCACTGTTTAGATTTCCAATATTCAGCTATTTTTTTGTAGTAATTTAGCCAGAAGATAAACCTTCAGAAAAATCTAGATTCTATGCTTTTCAAGTGATTTTTTTTCCGGCCTACTGTAGGTAGACTGTAAAACAAATGACCAAATCGAGTGTTTTACTTGTTCAGGTTCTGTAGAGGTTTGTTACGAGATGATGACCTTGCAACACACAAGAGATCGTATGAAGGTAACTGTTTTGACTCTATGTTCAGACCAGCGGCTATCAGCGGTAAAATTTCTCTCATTGATGTAGTTCTTACACAGCTTCCACATGGTTTTCATCATTTACTGTACATGATGTTGTTCCGTACTATACGTGTAAAATATATTATTCTATCAATTATATCATGTGCAGACATTAAAAGCCTCATTGCAAGGTGAAAAAAAAGACACACTTTAATAGGCTTCTGTGCGCTGGGGTGCAGCGTAAAATTTTTACCTGCTGCTTGATGGTATTCATTTTCGCGGATTATACCTGACCTGCACATGGCAATTGTTAAACCTCTCTAAAGTTTTACGTCTGCAATACGGAGAATGAAATGTAGTGAATGTAACACTTACAAATGGTAACAAACAAAAATGGGTTTATGAGTTTTCTACAAAGTATAATCATAATCTAAACCAATCGCTTGAATACATTTTGTGAATGCTTGTAATAATTTATGTTACATTCACGCTGAAACTACATATATGAGCATGTGCATGTCGTTTAAAAATACACATGCAGACCAGTTTAACCCATGCTGACAGATTTGCTTTCAAACCGGAAGGCAAATGATACCATAGACTTTGTGGTCAATGAAACTGTGAACCAACAAACACAATTAAGCACAAAATGTTCTAAAAATAAACTTGACTTACAGAAACACATGCAAACACATGGCCACAAGATCTCACCTAAGATAAAGCATATGTATTAAACTGGTGTGTATAGTGCTGCAGCATTTGTGTTCATGCATGCATCAAAAAAAACAACATTTTACCAACCCATTTTGTCTCCATCTCAATCCAGTCTTTAGAGCCTGACCTGAATTATGCCTCACTGGATCTGAAGGTGGCAAATAAATACAAGAAGAACCATCGCCATCAGCAAGGCCACACTCAGGGACGAAACAAACCGCAAGATCAGATGCCAGTCCACCACACCCCCTCTGTGAATGCTTTCTTGGAGGTGGAAGCAGACATGGACGCTCACCTTCCTCCCAGAGACACAAGCACCATGGTTTCACACAGTAGCATCTACCTGAACAGTCAACAGATAGCCGAAGAGACAGAGGAGATGGAAAGAGAATGGGGCATAGACATGGAGAGGGTGACTGCGGGTTGGGAAGGAATAAGAAGGCGGGAGGATGGTGGAAGTAGAGAATGGAAAGGAGAGCAAGAGAGTGAGGAAAGAAAAGGACGACAAGATTTTAGTAATGGGAGTGTATGTACACAGCTTTCAGAGATAGATGCTATTCAGAGTGGCACGGATCATTTCATCAACAGCTTTAGCCATGATAGTGTCCCACAAGCTTAGACAGATTTCATATTATTTCCTTGTTTCAAACTGTTCAGAACTGAATAAGCCACCTGAAAAAAAGCCAATAAAATAAAACAATGTAATATTCAACGAGCTTTGCGCAGTTGAGCAATTTCCTCTGATGCAAACAAACTACCTCTTGAACTCTCCACACCATTGAGCAACCAAGGAACAGAAGTGTACCTTTCTGTGCAGAGGATGTAATCAACGTAGAGGATATACAGAGAAAAGGAAACTCTGTGTGTGACATTTAGAGGTCAAGGGCCACATGGAAATTTTCAATATCTTAAGGAAAACATCAAATCATCACAGGACACAGAAGAACTTTCACTGTTTTGATGTGTATAATCAGACATCAGCAGATGTCTCACAGAAAGGTGTGAAGGGGAAAAAAATCTTTACATTTGTTTTCCATGATGTAGGCGATGGCCAAGCTTCGAGGTGCGATACCTTCTTTTTCAAATGTACTTGCCAAAGCACAGGTGAATCTGCTTTTCAGTCATGTTATAATTGGAGATAAAATTAACATGAACATGAAAATTAAAGGCAAGAAAGTGAAAAGGGGAATGCTATTAGTGGGATATCAGTAACATTTAATTTTCCATGTGGGCATACATGTGAATGTCACCCACAGAGGATTTTCCCCATCAAAGTTATGATAATGGTCAATAACTTTAGAATTTAGAATTTATTGAGCTAACGCGCTATCTGCTTAAATTATTATTTCCCTCTCTGTACTCCCCTCTCGGGAAAGATAATTTAATGCAGAGGGAAGTGAGCTCTGAAGTGAACTCAGCAATGAGAGGCCTGCAGCGCAGTATTTGTTGACAGGTTTTCAATAGCTGACCATGGCCTACTTCCTCTCTATGGATTTATTTTTGGTTTCAGGCGTTTTAGAGCTAACTGTTGCAGACAGGGTAGCAACATAAAAAGACAAATAACAATGCACTTTCAGGCCCTGAAAAAAAGATGGAAATATTTTCTTCTTCTTTTTCATAAAAGAAGACTATTATTTTCTTCTTTATGATAATTATCTCGTAAAGATGTGGTTGTCTATTGTGTTTAATTGTGCAGAATGGCTTGATTGTTTTTAAGGACTCCATAAGACTTTGCTTAATTGCAGTGCTGGAATGTAACTAAGCACATTTACTGTATTCTACGTTACTTGAGTCTTTCCCTTCTTTGCCACTCTCCACCTCTACTCCACTTAATCTCAGGGTAATCTTGTAGCCTACATTTTACTTTACTACAATTATCTGGAAGCTTTAGTCAATAGCAACTTCACAAATAAGATTTAAAAAAAATTTACACAAAAATCATTTGTTATAAATTTAACAACCCAACAGTTTATACAGGTACAGCTGAAACAATTAGTGTGGTGAATCGATTAGTTGACAGAAAATTTATTGGCAACTACTTTTATAAACAATTTAGTCATTTGTCAGGTAAAAACATTTCATGGTTCCAGCTTAAAAAATCTGAGGATTTTCTGTGTTTCCTTTTAATTATTTAAATAATTTTAATTTATTTTTAATGATTTTGAGGCTTGGATTGTTGGTTGGACAAAACGGGGCGGCTGTGGCTCAGGAGGTATAGTGGGTTGCCCGTTTATTGGAAAACTAGCGGTTCAATCCTCGGCTATATGTCAAACTGTCCTACTGAACCCCGAATTTGCCCCAATGGCTGTTCCATCTGTGTATGAATTTGTGTGAATGGGTAAATGCGATGTAGTGTAAAAAGCGCTGTGAGTGGTTGGAAGACTAGAAAGGCGCTTTACAAATACAGATTATTACAAAACAAACATTGTGAAGGTGTCACTTTGTGCTCTGGGTAATTGTGATGGCATTTTAGAATTTGGCAAACAAAATTAAAGGAGCAAATAAATAGCACTGACAAGAGAGTGGCAGTCGCCTTCTTTCTGATTGCAGCCTAGCTCATGTAGCTACCATGGTGCCACCATAAAGTGTGTTATACTTTGCTAGTGGCAGTCATAATATAGTGGCCTGAAGTAATAGGTGTTATTGATATTATTATTATTTATTTGTAAAAATTATTTTGGAGGCACTTTATGTAAAGAGAGATGACAGGAAATGAGGGGAGAGAAGGGGAATGACATGCACACAGCCAGACTTAAACAGGGACATGACAATTTATGGCTTGTGCCTTAACTCCCAGGGTGCCCCAGTGAAATTACTGTATTACAATTACAGTAACGCCTGTCAGATTACACCAACTGGCCAAAATTGAGTCATATGTGTTTTCTGATCTGCCACCCCTGTGGTCAATATGATTAAGTTAAGACATTATGGAAAGAATGCCTTCATTTTTAAAACAGTCAATGTCATAAAAGTATCATGCTTTGCATCCACCCAACCTATCAGGGCTTTCACACCAAAGCATTTTAAATCAATAACTCTAATAAGAAGTTATTGCTTTCAGGTCTCAAAATTTTTGCATCGATATTACATAACACTACATCTATCTTTGCAACTGAGACACAAGAGGTTGCAGAATATGAACATACTAAATGTGTTTGGACAATGCCAAATAACTCTTGTTTATTTAGACCAAATTGTAACAAACAAAAAATATTAAGTTCCAGTAGGCTACTCGGTACATTCAGAACTTCTGAATAAAACAACTATGTTGTTGGCTGTGCCAAATTGGTTTGTTCTAATACTATGCATGTTAAGTGGGGGATATTGATCAGTCACCTGTTCTGGCTCCAGGAACACAATTAGCTAACTCCTCAGCTTCATAAATGAATGTGACAACATTCAACAACAACAAGCAGCTGCCATGTTGTTGAATGCTAGCAAAATAATCATTTTTCTGGTATTAGTTAACATAAAACTGTACATTGTTCAGCGTTTACCATCCATCAATGTACTAATTCGGGAAAATGGACGGCAACACTCATCAGAAGGCTGACCTCTGAGAGACGCTGTGGATGTTAATGGTACCGGGAGTTTTGTGGGATCCCTTAACTGTCAATATAGCATGTTGGTTACACGTTAATGCATGTAAAATATGTATCAAGACAATGAAAAAGAAGACTATTACAGTGAGCTACCACTACTAGGCCTACAGACCTGGAAAATGAGTTAAAAAAAGACTGACGAAAGACGAAATATGTAATTTATATTTATATTTTTTGTGTCTTTTATGAAAAACACAAGGAAACTGTAACATATATATATATATATAGTCTGTGGTAGCAACACATCCGAAAAGCTACTGAGAACCGGAAATGGAAGGTTTTGTTTGACCGAGTGAAGCGTCTTCCTGGGTGTAGACGATCTTCTTTACAAACATGGCAGCTCGCATGTGAATGTCATGCCATCTTAATCTATTACCTGAATCTGTTCGTGTTTGGGTGCGATGACTGATACGTTCAAGCTGACATGTAAATGATATCTTGAGGTGTTGTTCTTTCACTCCCCTCAGATAGCTAAGCATCGGGAAAACCGTTTAACTTTGTTGATTCATTAGCTGACCCGCGGCACTTGATGTTAGCATTTTAGCTAAGTTAACCTGTCGTGAAGTTCAGACGGATTCGCTTATGGATCCTGACCAACAACTGCGAAATGTAAGTCACATTCATATGCGGCGGCAGCTACATTCAGATTGATGGTGACGAGTTTGTGTGCTTTTGTCTCTTTCAGCTGCGGGATTTCCTTCTGGTTTACAACCGCATGACTGAAATTTGCTTCCAGCGATGCACCAGCAACTTCAACTACAGAAACCTCACAATGGACGAGGTAAGGATACTGAAATTCATGAACCCCTCACATGTGTAGGCACACCAACAGTTACAATTCTGAATGTGATCGTGTTGCCTTGCGTTATGGCTCATCACCTTTTCTTCAACTGCTATTTCTGTGCACATTACAGGCCATGTATGTTAGACACACGGACAAAACACCCATAAGTTATGTAAGTGCCGCATAGCTTCAAAAGTATGGGCCGTTAATACGCTGCTATAACAGCCTAATTCTTCTGGGAAGGCACTTTTGGAACCAGGATGCAGGGAGTTTTAACCCAGCCACAACAGTGGCCTCTCATGTCGGGCGTTTGGTATGGGCTTGTAGTCAGGGCTCTGTGCAGGCCAATGACCTCTTTGTGCATGGGTGTCAGCGTCAAGTTGAGTCTAGTCCAAACCTTGAAAAAACAGCCGCAGACTTTATGTGGTTACATGCATATACTTTTGAACATATAGTGTGTCATGAGCACATACTGTAGCTTTGTCCATCCACTCATTCCCAGTGCTTGCTGTTGTCTGTCCAGGAGCGCTGTGTGGACAACTGTGCAGGGAAGCTGATTCGCTCTACCCACCGCCTGATGGGCACCTATGTGCAGCTGATGCCTCGGATGGTGCAGCGCCGGATGGAGGAGATGGAGAGCAAGGCTGCAGAGAATGCCAAGGCAGCAGAGGCTGCCGCTGCCGCAGAAGCCTCACCAGCATCTCAAACCCCCGTCACCTTATCTCCACTGTTAACTCCCTCAATCACCAATGTCGGACCAGAGGCCCATGGCTCAATCTTAAAGCCATCAGGATTAGATATTCCACTTCCACAATCCACAACAGCCACAGAAGTCAAATTATCAGTTGCTGCACCACTCACACCTGCTTCAGAAGCAGCAAATCCCTCAGTGCTTAATGAAGCTGGCAATGGACCATCTTATACAGTAGGCGTTTCTCTGCCACCGATAGCTGGGAGCTCAGCGCCTGTGCTCATGCCATCTAAACCAATGTCCTTATCAGAAGATGTACCTGTGTCAACAGTAGCTGCACCTACAGTGTCTAAATCCATAGACAGCCAAGAGAGAGCCCCAGAGGTCCACCCACCCTCAGGCCAGTGATGACGCCCAGTTTGGGGCTGTCACAGGTGCTAGCGACATGTCCCTGACTCCCACCACAAACGACCCACATCTGATGAGTCACTCCCAAATGTGATTTTCTCTGTATTGCTGAAAAGAATTATTGAATAAAACTCTGACATACATGATAAAATATCATCAACTTTTCAACAACTATTATGATATCATCATGTCATACAACCTTTTCTAGCTACAGTCTCTACAGTGAGCATTTGCTGTTTTTCTTTGTTTTCATATTGTAAATTGTAAAATTGAGTTTTTCCACTATTTGTTTTACAAAACTAGCAACTTTAAGACCTTAACTTTAGATTCTGTTAATGTATGCAGGCGTCATTTTGGGCGTATTTATTTTTGACTCAACAGTAAATAAATCAAGAATCAGAATCAAGAAAATAATATTAAATTGCAGCTTTAGTGCCCTGTCAACACCCCCCACCATGATATGAACAGCAGTAATTTATATACTGTATATATTATATAGAAATCTGACACAGTATTGCAAAGTATGTCAGAAATGTCAATAACGCAAACTAAAATGCAGACATTAAAAATCCTAGGCGTAAATGTTATGTTTTGTAATAAAGAGACAAGATGGAATTTGTGTTTATGTGTGTGTGATGGCAGTTGAGAAATTATGTTAGTGATGGAAGTGATATTACCAGTCAAAGCTCCACAAGGATCAATCCCCAGCCTGCAGGCTTGATTGCATAGGCCAGTTGATCTTTGGACTTGCAGGAGCCAAGAGGGCTTAGTCTGATAAGCCCCTAAACAGACTTGGTCCCGATAATTGTTTTGTAAGTTGACACAGCAAATGCAGAAATTAGATACTCATCAATAATAATAAAAAAAAGTATTGATGACTCTTTATTCATGTTTGCTGGATTTTAAATGCTCTTTTAACAGCCTCTGGTATTTTTTGTTTGAAAACATTAGTAAGCTGTCAGATGTCCTAACGCAGCAGTGTTTTGGGCGTATGCCACATGGTCTCATTGTTGTGGGTGTCAATACAGTTCATGGCCTTTGTCGCATATCATAAACTCTCCTCCCATCATTTCCTGTCTTTGCACTCAACATGCTATGTGCTCTTCAATCCAGCAGCAGAGCAGTGATAAGCGATCTTCAGTGTAACTGTCAGCTAACAGCTGTGACAGTCAAGGATTGTAGAAGAAATTATATGGCCATGTATAAAACAGTTTGCTCTTGTTTGGATAAGATGGTCATGCAATAGTCATGTTTAGCCACCCTGTTGCTGTAGGGGCAGAGCCACTGAGATTCGCAGTCCCTGTTAGGAACCAGCTCTGTGTCACATGTAATAAGTATAATTTTTTTTTTTCATTTTGTAAAAGAAAGTGTCTGTTTTGGAATCATTGCTGATCAGTCCTGCTGTTACCAGTTAGCAAAGAAAGTTATTCATTTTATCAATTAGTGTACTGTATATTTTTATTTTTGCTCTCAAACTTTGATATTGGTGTCTGGCTCACAAATCAAGTATCTGTGAGGCTGCAATTCAACATGGACAGGCCTTTTTCAACGCAGATGTTGTGATTTGTCAAAGTAGCAAAAGCACAGGTGTTACCAATAGAACTTTACTCTATTCATGTGTCCCAATAAGTCATGACAAATGTAATGCGTGACATGTCAACGTGTCTTCTGTGAAAGTATTTGAATAAAAATGTATTAATGATGAAGCATAGAGGTCGACTGATAAATTAGCCATGTTGATACATATGCCGATAATGGCTTATGACAGATACAACGGTGTTAGTATATATGACAGCCAATAAGCAGAAAGTAGCACGTTAATTATTTGGCCACCAGAGAGCACTGACAGGTTTATTTATCAACTGCAAAACCATAAGCCTTATTCACTGAAGACATGTTGCAGTAAGAAATGCACAGGTGTAAATAATAAAATAGGCTGAACACTTGAATAGAACAGATTCATGTGCTTTGCCACGAACAGTCAAAATTTCCTTTTACAGTAGTATCTGAGTCAGAATTATTCAATACCTTAATTTAATGGATTCTTAGACGTTTATGTGTTAATGTTTAAAAATCCTAAAATACATCATCATTAGATTTTTCACACTCATTCTGTATTTTTGGTAAATGGAAAATTAACCTAAAGCATTCTCACTCAAATTACAGTGAAAGATGAAAAATTAATAAAATGCATTTTAAAAAACTGCCCACATCCCTCTGCCACCTCACCTGACACAGGTATTTCGCTCCCGTGTAGTCATTCCGCTGGGTGCAGCATCGTCGCATTGCCTCCAGCAGGGGGCACTGTTTAGCGAGTGTCCCGGGACAGGGCCGCCAGCAGCGGAGCTCTAACTTCTTACCAGTAGCCCACATCTACTCTGACGAGCGGGGCGTGGACTCAGACCGACTTCTCTGCTCTTAAATTTGAGGAGACGGCTGACTTTCGGGGGGAAAAAAAGAAACTGACGAGAAATCGATCGATTAGCAGCTGGTAAGATTTCTGAAAACGTTTTTGTATGTGTAATAGTTTTGTTTCCATCGCGGTTGGGAAGCTTTGTTGTCCAACTTCACTCTGACTTTTTAACAATAGAACTCAAAGTGATCCAATAGGCCAGCCCATCCGATCCCACGGAGGAAGATGAAGCCAAGGGGAAATGTGGGAATGTACAGCTATTTCAGTACTTAAATTTCGCCGGACTCTAGCAGGATGTTTATCCTTCTCTGTGTAAATAGTTCAAATGTTTAACGATCAGTATGAAACTAATTACCTTACAGATTGGTCTACCATTACAATGAATGTTTAGGAATACACAAATACCATAGAGCAAGTACATCAGGCTTGTGACACACAGTCACACCTGAGGGGATAGTGTGTCTTTTTATGGACATAATACTTCTTTACCTAGCCTTAAAAAACTGTGTGATGTCTGTTTACCTGTTTTTATCAGTACACTGGAAGATATACAGTACATGGCAAAATCAGTTGTACAGATTGGTTTATTTACTTTGTTTGTATGGGTGGCGGGAATAAAACCAAGCTCTGTCTCTTACATAAGGAGTCTTTGTTTAACACCTTTTGCAGGCTACATGTTCCTGATCTCAAAAGAGATTAAAAGAGCAAACAGTCAAAAGACGCGACCTACATTATAATCATGGATGACATCTTCACACAGTGTCGAGAAGGCAACTCTGTGGCTGTTCGTCTGTGGTTGGACAACACAGAGAATGACCTCAACTTGGGGTGAGCGGATAAATCTGCACACACTTCACTCAGATACATAAAGCTTTGATGATGCCCACAATGGGCTTGACTGCCTCTCTCTATCTCTATCTTCGAAGTTAGAGTTTTGTTGTAGTAAAGCAAACAAATTGAGTCTTCTAATGATGACTGACTTCATAGCAAACGTACCACATTTGGTATGGTTGATGAGGTGATTCTGTGCTTGTGTGTGTGTGTGTGTGTGTGTGTGCTTATGCAAAACGATCCTTGGCACATTAGAGGTGGTCAAATAGTTTCCATATTGTGCTCTCCCTGCAAATCCACATGCTGCAGAGCATCACCCAGCTTCAGTAATTCCAGTCCAGTTTGTACTTCCCCCCCCATTTTCTTCTTGGATTTCTCTCCTTATGATGTCATCCCCCTAAAAGTATGTGTGTGTATAAAAAGCAGTAGATGATTTGGGGAGGTTGTGCAGTGACATAAATGACTCAGACAACAGAAAATAGCCGAAAACTCCTCCTACACTGGACTGCAAAGCACATACCGACTTTAGATTATAGTGCCAAGATGATTTAGACAACTGACAAAAAAGTATTTAGTCAATAGTACCTGTGATAATTTCATAATCATTTTAAATATAATTTTAAAATAATTGGGGGGTTTCAGACAAATAACCACTTTGAAGAGGTTAACCTATTCTCTGGGAACAAATTGTCAAATGTTGTCTATATTGAAAAAAGTAATCTAAAATATAAGTGATGAATTTATAATGGTCACAAATTGCAGCCCTATTAGATTTTCTTGTATTGTTTAGGACATACAGAGCACGTCTGCATGTTTACATAATGTCCTCTCCAGAAAGGAGCTAGAAGACCTCACTGCTAAAGACCTTGGTTATCTCATTCTTGGGCCCAGCCATATATGTGCAGTTTGTTGACGTTGACTTTGAGGGCTGCAGAGCTGCTAGCCAACCACGCAACAGCCAAGGCCATTTCCTCTGTTTAACTCCATACAGGGCCAGGCCCTCACTGACAGAGCTTCTCAGGCAGCAAGCTGCAGCCCCACATAAACATCTGAGAGACCAGTCATTATGCTGGAGGCCTTTGCTTTGGCTTTGCTTTCACTCTGAAGAGGCTCAACCGTGTGAACCAGCCCCCTTTTTTTTCCTTCAGAATATGAAGTAATGTTGTGTAATAAGTGGAATATGTTGTGGAAAAATTTGTTGCTTAGTAGGAACTGAAATGCCCGAACAAACATTAAATGCCATTTTAGATCTTCCCCAGGAGCTGTTGTGTGTTTGTGTGTGTCTGTGTATTTGAGCAAGTGACACAGGAAGACACAGGGCAAGAGAGAGAGAGATATACAGAGTATGCCTAGTTGAGGATTCCACTGTGTATTTTCGCTCTGTCATTCCTGAGTTTTTTCCCCCCCGTTACTTTTTTTAGCACACAGTGTTGGACAGACTATGAACTGTCTGTCCAGTGCTGGATCAGAATTGACTAACTGCTATTCCACTTCAGTGTGAACTAGTGCTGCAGCTATTTCCTACAGGCTATACAAGCCCTCTTGAGGTTTATTGTTAAATAGAGTGTAGAGTTTGTGGCTTTGCGTGAAGTTGCCAGAAGCCCCTGCAGCTGCCTCGGGGTCAGCTAATGTAAAGGACTCGCTTGGGTGAAGGGGCCAGTCCCACATAGGTGATAGCTTGGCTCCTCGACTGCAGCAATGCTATATGTACTGTGCTATGCAGACTTATTTATCACTAGGCCAGCCATCAGATGGCCACTGGCTGCCGGCAGCGCGAGGAAGCATGTGCTTAAAGTCTAAATAAAGATTGGTAGATACTGTGTGTGAGAACCTGTGTGGCTGTGTGTGTCAAAGAGAGAACCACACTGATAGTATTTTGTCAGCTGGTATGTGAGATATTAAAAGAGACCATCAACACCCTCCTACGCCTCAAGGGAAAGTATGTCTTCACCTCTAAATGTTGTCATCTTTTAAAAATTCTAATTAAGACTAGAAGTGTTAAAAGGAAGGTTATCACAGCTTAAAGATTGATGGGCTAATTAATGTAGGATTCGTCCTTCTTTGCTCTTCATCCTCTCCTGTGTGTTTTTAGTGATGACCACGGCTTCAGCCCCCTCCACTGGGCATGCAGGGAAGGGCGAAGCGGCGTTGTTGACATGCTCATCATGAGAGGTGCTCGCATTAATGTGATGAACCGTGGAGATGACACACCACTGCATCTCGCCGCCAGTCACGGACACAGAGACATCGTGGCTAAGGTTCACACACACTCACATGTAGCATGATTGCATCTGACCTGGTGGGCGTGTTGTTTATGTCTGTCTGAGGGCAGAAAACGTGTTTTTTTGTTCAAATTTCTTCCTTTGTGACGCCAGCTGATCCAGTGCAAAGCAGACCCCAATACAGTCAACGAGCATGGAAACACCGCACTCCACTACGCCTGCTTCTGGGGCCAAGAGGAAGTGGCGGAGGTACAGTCAAATACACCCACGTTGTCTGAATTGGCCCTCTTCTGGGGAGAAACGGCTACTACAGTGCTCTTTTGTTAAGCAGTGGTATAGTCACTTCTTCTAGTGGCTTTGCTTGAATACTAAAATATTTGCTTCAGATCTATTCTGTATAAAGAAAGTTTAACCCCTCTTTTGTAGGACCTGGTGGCCAGTGGTGCCCAGGTGTGTGTATGTAACAGGTATGGACAGACACCTCTGGACAAGGCCAAGCCTCACCTAAGACAGCTGCTTCAAGGTCAGAGGTCATTTATGGGCATTGTGACACCCTAACAAGTTATTTCATCACCACTTTATTTGTCTAATTGTTACTTCTTTCATGTATGTGTTTAGAAAAGGCAGAGAAAATGGGCCAGAGTATGACCAAAGTACCCTATAAGGAAACTTTCTGGAAGGGCACCATGCGAACACGACCTCGTGAGTGACATGCATTTCATAAAAAGGAGCAAATCGTCATATTAAATCGGGATGTTTGTTTGATTATTCATATTTTTGGCTCTTTCAGGTAACGGTACCCTCAACAAGCAGGCTGGTATTGATTATAAGCAGCTTTCGCTCCTGGCAAAGATCAACGAAAACCAGTCTGGAGAGGTCAGAAGCACTTAGCTCCTGCATGTCAGTCTTTTTCATTTTTTTCAGCTCCCATTTGTTTGCTTGACTCTGTGCTCTGTCTGCAGTTATGGCAGGGTCGGTGGCAAGGGGATGAGATTGTAGTGAAGGTGCTGCAGGTGAGAGACTGGACCACCAGGAAGAGCAGAGACTTCAATGAGGAGCATCCCAAACTCAGGTAATTTACATCAGTGAGTGTTCTAACAATGAAAAGTAATAGTGGCAGCTTAGGCATTTAGGTCATTTTTCTATGAACATTTGGACTGACTATCACATCCTGGTAAACACAGAGCTAATGTGAGGATGGATGTGTTTGCATTGGTCACAGAGAATCTGGTGCAGGATTCTTGTGCAACAAGGAGAGGAGTTTTTATTGTTAGAGGTCAAGGAAAGGTTTTGGTTGGGGTGTTGCAATGTAAGTGGTCGTTGGCAGCTGTTTAATGAGTGATGTGTTCTGCACTACTATGTGAAAAACAAATTCCACAAACATCCTTTCATCACAGTAAACATGAAATCCAGTACAACATAAAATTCTAAAGTATGTACAGACAATTTCAAGAGAGGATTTTTAGTGAGCCAAAAGTCAGCTCATACCAGCATGTTATGACATGTTCAGCATGGGCCCCTCAAGAGGACCTCTGCGTTCAGTGAATCATCATTGACATAATTATGGCTGTGTTATATGTATCCTAAAGGAGCAGGTATTACACAGAAATAGCCTACTTAGATCTAGTCTAAGACGTAACACCGAACAGTGTAAATCAAACAAGCGAAACTACACCATAAAGGAAAGCAAATTAGCACAACCTGGCCAGTCCCACAGACTTCAGACCCTCATTAAGTGACAGACTAAAACTCTCAGCAAAACCTTAATTGGACAAAAATGAGAGAAACCTTTGAGCAGGCCGATTCAAAGAATGCGAGCAATGGGAAGACGCTGGCACTGTGCTTTCATGTCGGCCTCAGTTCTTGCCCTCTTTTAAAACTGAAGCAAACATAAAAGCACTTGGGATGAGTATGCTGAAAAATTCAGAGGCAAGACGGCTTTTGACTTGCATTGCAAAAAATGAAAGGGCACCAGATAAAGATAAGAGTAAAACTACTGCCCAGCTTTACTTTAAAGGCCCACAGATGATACAAATGTGTACAAGTGTATAATAACACGGATTATAGAGTTTTCTTCATGCAACACGCTTTAGGACATTTCTTGTCTTAATGGTTTTTTTAATGGGTTTCCTAACAACCATGAATTTGTTCTTTCCTTATCATCTAAGAAAGTCCTCCCTGTTCTAAGTATACATAATCTTTACTTTTTTCCCCCTCATCGTTTTTTGTTAACATAGTAAAATGACATTTACTCACAACTAGTCTTTCTTCCTGTTGTGTCTCCATAGGATCTTTTCTCATCCAAACATTCTGCCTGTTCTCGGTGCCTGTCAGGCACCTCCATCCCCTCACCCCATCATCATTACCCACTACATGCCATATGGATCCCTCTTCAACATACTCCACCAGGGCACTAGTAAGTACTTCGCATTTATGTGCATGAATAAAATAAAATGAATTTGTATTCAGTTTCATGCACTATGTCTGAGGATTGCTGCTGCAGGACATCACACACCCATCTTCAACCCGCCGTGCTTTCTTACATTTCTCTCCTGTCTTTGTTGTTGTCTTCTTCTTCCTCAGCTCTGGTGGTCGACCAAAGCCAAGCAGTGAAGTTTGCCTTGGACATCGCCAGTGGCATGGCTTTCCTCCACACCTTAGAACCAATGGTTTCACGGCTTTACCTCAACAGTAAGCATGTCATGGTAAGACACTGCTCTACTGTCTTTAAACTCTGATGCGTCAGCAATCACAGTAATAAAAAAAAAGATTTAGTCTGTTGCATTGACTCGCCAGATGTTTGATGAGTAACAAGCTGGTGTGATTCATTTGCAGATTGATGAGGACATGACAGCAAGAATAAGCATGGCAGACGCTAAGTTCTCCTTCCAGTGTCCTGGTCGCATGTACTCTCCAGCATGGATGGCCCCTGAAGGTATCAGTACCTTTTTTCCCTTCCGCCTACTTCCTCCTCCCATATTGCCTCTTTAGACATTATGAGTCATTCAGAAAGGAACATACTGTACTGTATAATTTAGTCCCAGTTCAGTGGTCATGTCATTTGGTGTGTTGCCTATGTTACACAATAAAAACAAACACTGTGAGTTAGCCCATTATGAGCATGGTTTTCTTTGTCCCTCTTGTTTCCAGCCCTGCAGAAGAGGCCTGAAGACATCAACCGAAGATCTGCTGACATGTGGAGCTTCGCGGTGTTACTGTGGGAGTTGGTCACCAGAGAGGTCCCTTTTGCTGACCTCTCACACATGGAGATAGGCATGAAGGTAATTACTTAATTGTATGTTTACATCCACCTCTCTATATCTCTTGGAAAATTCCGCAACAAACATGCAAACACCATACCTCCAAAATGTTCCGAGGCTCTTACAGGTTTCTGTGTTGCTCAGGTGGCCCTCGAAGGCCTTAGGCCAACCATTCCCCCGGGGATTTCACCTCATATCTGTAAGCTGATGAGGCTCTGCATGAACGAAGACCCAGCCAAGAGACCCAAGTTTGACATGATCGTCCCCATCCTGGAGAAGATGCAAGACAAGTGAAAGCCTGCGTAGCACTCCTGTTACTATATTTTTAATCATCAAACCACTCTGTATTTCACTGCAATCATGTATCTGCCAAGCCACTGTAAATAATGTCAGATGCCACTTCAGCCACACAATTCAAACAATAAGTATATTGCTTTTCTTGTATAATTTAAAATTAAGGTATAAATGTTCTTTGGCCTAACTATGTTGCTCTTTTTTATGACTGAAACGTGTTTACTGAAATATTGACAAACTATATTCAGTGATGAGTCAGACAGAAACAGATCCAAAGAAATGTGTATAGAAACAATGCTTTTATACACATTAGCGAATACCAATGAAATAAATGTTTTATATTTATGACAAATCCTTATTCTTTTATTTTGAGACTCCAGACAATTTGAGACTCCAGACAATTTACAGTAGGCCTAGTGAACCCTATGCTAAGAATCTTTTGTCAAACTACTGTCCTATTTCCAAGATCAATAGTGAAGCTGCATGCTCAGAAACCAGTGGTGGACAGTTACATTTACTCAAGCATTGTAATTAGTGGTATTTATTCTTTACTTGAGTATTTTCTTTTCATGCCACTTTGTATTTCTACTCCCACCACATCTCAGAGGAAGATATTGTACTTTTTACATCACTACATTTTTCTGACTGCTTCAGTTACTTTACTAAGTATGGTATTTAAAAAAAAAAAAAAAAAATTATTCTCTGAATATTAATTGCTAAGTATTTTGGTAATTGTTAATTTTTCACATAAAAACACTTCATGGTTCCAGCTTCACAAATGTGAAGATTTGCTACTTTTCCTTTTGATTGTTTTAATGTGTCTTTTAATCATTTTGAGGTTTAGACTGACAAGCATTGTGATGGTGTCACTTTGGGCTCTGGGCAATTGTGACAACATTTGTCATTATTTTCATAATGTTTGCAATCAATTAACATTACTGGAGAAAATAATCAGCGAGTTAATCCATAATGAAAATAATCATTAATAGCAATCTGATACAAAATTGTTCAGCCTCAACCAACTACATCAATACATTCTTAATGATAATCTAATGTATAGTCTAATAGTATAACAGTCATAAGAGATATTTTTTTCTGCTTTGAGTATTTATACTTTTAATACTTACATACTTTTACTTAAGTAACATTTTCAATGCAGTACTTTCACTTGTGAGAGAGTGTTTCTACAGTGAAGTATTACTTTTATTTAAGTAAAGAATCTAAATACTTCTCCCACCACTGTCAAAAACTGACACCTTGCAACTTCAAGTGCGATTGTCAAGTGATCAATCAGCTGCACTTTTTGTTACACTTTGCTCAGAAAAAAAGAAAGGAAAAAGAAATCTTTGGCACGTGATGAGTCAGCTGACTTTCTGTGCCTTTCATAAGAGGGAGCAGTTGGATCTTCTCAAACAAGCGGTGTGTGCTGCAGGCAGACGCGCGCACACACACGTATTCGTCGACTTTGTTCCAGTACACTTATGTGGAAGAGGAAGCGTGACAGTCGTGGATCTCTCCGCCTGTGTTCACTACTCCCGATCCTCACCCGGGGAAGAAAGCGTCGACCCCTCCAGTCTGCACATTATTTTCAGATACAGTGGCAGAAGAGTAAGTTAGCTAACTTTGCTAGCTAGCCACTTTGCTAGCAAGCGGTTTTGTGTTTAAGTCTGTCCTCCCCTCTTCAAACTTGGATGCGGGCGTGTTTGAGTCATTTATTCTCAAGTTGAGCTGTAAATTCACTTCCTTGACGTCTTGTTCTGATGTGTCCGTGTCCTTCACAGAGGACACCTGCTGCTAGGACAATGAGGCTCCCCACACCGCTGCCCTCCTTCGGGCTGATAACCTGCGCTCTGGTTTTAGTGTTGCCGTTGTTTGGGTCCTGTCATCCAGCGCAGACCTCAGAGCGTCCGAGGCCGGTGTTCGTGGAGCAGTTTAGCCGACAGGCGGTCGGATTTAACTGGAGAAATGTCACCTGCCCCTTCTGCAAAGCGATCTTCACCATCCTTGATATCGCCCTTCTGGTAATGTTTGAACATGATTCTTACTAATCACCTAAAATGCACATAATTATCTACAGAGCTAGATAGTAACTTACATTATTAATTATCGTGAATTCCATATAAGTTGGGAAAAGATAACTATCATTTAACGATAACGTCACTAGTATTGGTGGTTATTTAAAGTTACCCAATCGGTTAGCCCACATTTCAGTCCAGGAAGTCAGAAATCTTGAACTAGTCATAAGCAGCAAAATATAAAAGTGGGCAAACAAAAAAAGGAAATATTCAATAATGTATTATAGAAACAGTTTTAGCATTTATTATTAGCATTGCTGGTGTATTAGGCACATCTATCTAAAACTAATGCAGTTTAATAAAACAGCCCTGCTATAAAACCCTACTATTGTTCCTTTCTTCTATTTCCATCATAGATTTATGAGCCCACAGACTGAACTGTGGGCCATGTGGTAGCTTGAACTTCTGGTTAGATGTCACTGATGGTTGTAGCTGTCGGTTTGAAAAAAATTAATTCAAGGTAATTTCTTATTTGAATATTGTGATAGGAGTATGTTCACATTGTCAATGCAAACATGCTACTTCTAAACCACATTTAAGTTTACACCAATTTTACTGCTACACTGGGTTACTCAAGTTGGCAAACAAACGCGGCATGTGACACACATGCCCCTATATGGAGAGTGTCCGATTCTTGTTCTGCCCCTTCATCACTTTCTCCATCTCCTGGTGTTTCTAGCTGATTTAGCTCAAACGTGCTTGTGACATTTTGATCACATGTCTCTTTTGTCAAGTGCTCCTGATGGCTACAGCTGTTGACATCAAGAACATGGATTTTAGATACATTTTATTGTTACACTTAAATGCTGTGTCCATTCAAGAGTGTGACATAATGTCAAGTGTTACGTTGTGGTTTAGCAAGTTGGAATTTTAGGTGATTCAAATTTATTTTAGCTCTGCTCGGTCGTGAGGAAGTTTGAGGTTAATCCTGTTCTGCTTTTGTTACCTCTCCTAGAGTGATGCAAATGAGGAGCGAGTGGCACATGCAGTAGGTGAAGCCTGTATCCGTCTCCATCTGGGTGATGAGCAGGTTTGTCGAGAAATCACAGAGTTGTTCAGGGACGACTTTATCCGGGCTCTGCAGGAGTCCTATCTGTGGCCCACTGAAGCATGTGCCCTGCTTGTGGGCCCTTCCTGTGGCAAATTTGACCTCTACGAAGCCTGGAACATCACGTTGCCAAAGATCCCCAAGCCCCCTGTCACACCACCCTCTCCCCCCAAACCTGGTTCTCCACAGAGTAGGGTCCTGTTTCTAACTGACATCCACTGGGACCAGGCAAGTGTGTGCCGTTTGATACATTAAATGCAGTAACATATTGATAGTGGACACATAACTTCAAGGACTGTAGTATCTATGTTAAGGCTATACCCTGCAAAAACACATGATTGTAGTTACTGATTTACCTGAAGGAAATGTGGTGTGAATAAACAAACTGTGGAATGATTTTGGTCATCTAACTTTTGTTTTTGATCAAAAAACCATCTCTCCTGACAGGAGTATGTAGCCGGCAGCGCCGCAGACTGCAAGCACCCTCTTTGTTGTCGAAATGACTCCGGCTCTCCAAGCTGGAAACGGAGGGAGGCTGGGTACTGGGGAACCTACAGTAAATGTGACCTGCCTCTATGGACGGTGCAGAACCTCCTGGAAAATGCAGCCAAAGCTGGGCCCTGGGACTGGGTCTACTGGACCGGAGACATACCAGCGCATAATGTTTGGTCTCAGACCAGGAACCAGCAGCTGTCAGAGCTTACAATCATCTCCAGGCTCATTCACAAGTAATTTTTGTTTAGGATTAACTTTCCAAATTCTTTACATAATTTCTCCTTTTACAAGTAAAGTAGTGGGTATGTAGTCTAACTTGTGAAACACGGTGTCGCAATGTCAGACCTTTTGAATTGAATTAATGTTGCTGGTGACTGACAGCTGGAATTTCTGTAACACAGTTGCTCTAGTTTTTATCTCAAAATAGCCTTGTACTCTGGCTCAAAACATGCTGATAACATTCAGGGTGCTGCTGCTGCTTTGGTCAGATGTTTGTCATGTCTTACCTGAAATTGATCCAAACTGCTATTGACTCTTGCTGCTTCAATCCTCCTGTCTTCTGTCCAGACACCTGGGTCCTAATGTGACAGTTTACCCTGCTGTAGGGAACCACGAGAGTACGCCAGTGAACAGCTTCCCGCCGCCTTTTGTTCATGGCAACAGATCCTGCGCCTGGCTCTACAATACAATGGCAGAGGAATGGGCACCATGGTTACCAGATCAGGCTTTGAAGACTTTGAGGTTCTTGATATTTACATATTTTTTTAAATTACATTTAAGTTAATGATTATCATTGTCGATTCATCAGTTAATTTGGTTTATAGAATATCAGAAAATCAGTGTTTCCCAAAGCCCAAGATGACCTCCAGATGTCTTTTGTCCACAACTTGGATATTCAATTAACCATTATTAATCATAGAGTTAAAAAAAACAAAACCCAGTATATTCACATTTAAGAAGCTGGAACTGGAGAATTTAGACTTAAATTACTCAAACTAATTAATTGGTTATCAAAATGCAAGTGCATTTTATAGTTGACAACTAATCGATTTATAGTTGCAGCTCTAATTGTATGTTGACATTGTTGTGCAGGTCATTGGCCTGTACTATGAAGTGAGGTACCTGGCTTATCCAGGAGTAACATTGTGACCTCAGGTTTTACCCGAGGTCTACGCTGCATCTCTAAACTGCTCAGAGCAGTTTAATCTTCATGGTTAACTCGAAGTTACCCTATATACGTGTACTACACGCCACAATGTTAATGAGAACTATTAATACACACCGCTTGATTAAAATTTTAGATTGCATCCTGACTTGTTCCACTTGGGCTTGCACCTGAAGAAAATAAGTTTTGAAGTTGAAGGGTGGGGCCTAATCCCATAAAACTTGAAAAATTAAAGTGGTAAATTTACAAGAATTAAACATGGAAATTCCCTTGCATAAAGTCACACAAAATCCAAGTCACTCTGCTGTTGACTGTGGGCTAAAATTATGAATACTTCCTCATTGCTAAATCTGACTGAAGTAGCCTATGATAATTTTCCTGTGTAAACAATTATGAGACACTCGATTTGTTCCTAGTAAATGTACCATTTATATCTTAGCTTTTTTCCTCAAGTTATTACCCCTCTCCTCGTGTGCTTTTTTTTTTTTCTTATTACAGAGAACTTAATATGCAGTTGTACTTATCACTATGCGTAGAAGAAGAATCCATAAAATACAAAATAGAGAATTTGCCTACTACCAGAACACTGAAGACAATTTCAAATTTACTGCCAACAAGCCTCGCTTACTTTGGTGGCTGTCACGGTGTTCGATTTAGCCGTTAACATTTATTTAAACTCCTCATATCCTGACACAATCAACTTGCATTCTTCTGGGGAAAATACAGAGCATGCCGTTGTGAAAACCCTTCTTATGCAAACATGCAACCACTCAATTAAGCTAACACCGCAGTGTAGGTAGTCAGCGTTTGTCAACCGTGACTTTGCTTGCTAACCCGGAGTTAAATCTGAGTAGGTTAAACTCCCCTCGTTCTACAGACCTCAGTCCACCCTGTAGATGAGATGTAAATGCTCCTGTTAGATTCATCAAGTGGTTTCCTTTACTACATAAAGTAGAAACTATTTATGTCAGATGAATTTGACTTTGAGGCCCTCACATATGTCTTTGGGTGTAATTCCAGATATGGAGGATTCTACACATTGGAGATTCAGCCTGGTCTAAGGGTGGTCTCTCTCAACATGAACTTTTGTGCTCGAGAGAACTTCTGGCTGATGGTGAACTCCACCGATCCTGCCAACCAGCTGCAGTGGCTGGTCCACGTCCTCCAGGCCAGTGAGGACAAGGGAGAGAAGGTGAGTAGAGCAGCCTAAACGAGAGCTAGCAGAAGATGTTGGATCACTATAACATTGTAAAGCTGGTATAACACTGGTTCTTAATGAGGCTCAGGTTCATGTCCCACCTTAGCCACATGCTTCATGCTATGTGGATAATGACACTATTGCTTTCTCCTTTTGCTTCCCTCTTGTCAGTGTCACAGAGAATGAGATTGCAGTAAAAAAAAAAAAATTAATCAGTGCAATAAACTTCCTCTACATGGTGTAATTTCCTTTTATTTAGGTACACATCATTGGTCACATCCCACCGGGCCTGTGTCTTAGCAGCTGGAGTTGGAACTACTATCACATTGTTAACAGGTAGCTACATTGATCATTTAAAACCTGGAGGCAGAATCCAACAACTCTTAGAAACAGAAGTTGTAGTGCAGTCAAGACAACTGCAGTAGTGGTACATCCTCTTTTAATTGAATTTATTTGTTTTTTTTGGGGGGTCCTCTTAGTGACACAGGGAAGGACAATGAAGTTGTAAACACTCAGTAGTGGTTTCTTAATGTACAATGTGTTTCAGAACATTGAATGTCATAATGGAACACTCTTATCCCCACTATAAATTTCTAAATGCTACATGTCTATTTTAGGTGCTATCGACTTGGAAGTGCCAGTATATGGTTTCCATCCAGTTAAACAGTAGTTGACTTATTTGCTGGCAACGCTTGTTTCACTTCCTCTTTTATTTGTATGACAATCAGATGTGTGGTATGGTTTTGGGTGTCTGCTTTAACTAATGAACTTGCAAGTATTATTTAAATATCAATGTCCTATTGTGGTTAAACTTGCTACATGTGACAGCCTCCTTTTTTTTTTTTTTTTTTAACAGATACGAAAGTACAATTACTGGACAGTTTTTTGGCCATACACATCAGGATGAATTCCAAATGTTTTATGATGAGGCGACAATGTCCCGCCCATTGGGAGTGGCGTTCATCGCTCCCAGTGTCACTACTTACATTAATCTTAACCCAGGTGAGTGCATAAGCTAGTTCTCCCAACATTTCAGAAGCAACACACAGCTATAAAACGTTTAAATTATTTTTCTCTTTTCCAGGTTACCGGGTCTACTACATGGATGGGAATTACCAAGGCAGCTCTCGGCTGGTGCTTGACCATGAAACTTACATCCTCAACCTCACAGAGGTAAACTCCAGTCCAGGAGCGCCAGGCAGCCCAGAACAGGACCCCAAATGGACTCTGCTGTACCGTGCTACGAAGGCCTATGGTGTGACCAGTCTGTTCCCCTCTGACTACGATGGGCTGATACGGACCTTTATCAATGATGACCGGGTGTTCCAGAAGTTCTGGTACTTCAGACATAAAGGACACGTGTCAGAGCCATGCAAGGAGACGTGCAAAACAACATTGCTCTGCTTTTTGCGAAGTGGGCGGGCTGATGAGCTGGAGCAGTGTGACCTCCTCAATGGTTTTGGGGGAGACTTGGCCAGGGCTGCTAGAAAAACCCTTTGTTGACCTGTGGAAGTTTAGATTGAATGTCTGTCGGGGGGGAGAGAAGCAAGCAATATGACCAAATATGAAATTGAGCCAAAACGTTTGTGTCCTGTTTGTTGGTCAACATGGATTATTGTAATTGTATAACATGAACGTCACTTGACCTATTACTCTTGACGGTTTATGTGGATTCTGTAAACCTGACACTGAGCCTGAAGAGTTCTCAGTTATGCCTTTATAAAAACACAATTTAACACAAAGATCTGTCATTTGCAATATGCTTAAGGTTTGTCAACTGGTGTCTTGCAATTGTAAAGGCTGCTTGATTTTCCTGAAAGATGTTCTGTTTACTTGAAATGCACAGGATTGCATGAGTTAAGTGGTTTGTTTAAATTTGCTTTTCCTTGAATCTGGGAAAATGGTGTTAAATGTCAATCTATCCTTAACCACAATCTTTAAAGCTGCTTAAATGCTTTTCGGCAGCATAGCTTGTACCCAATATCCATATAATTCTCAGTTAATGTCCTCGGATTATCGGGCTTCATAAAATCCCAAGTCTTTCATCAAACAAATATTTAAATTCTGAAGATGCTTTCTCATGAATTGTCGCACATAACAGGGGGTTTGTATTAAAATGTATGATTGTCGTTTTGACCTATGCACACGGCAGTGTTAACACATTTGCTGGAACTTGACGTTTGTTAAAAACATTCAGGCTGTTGAATCTGGTGAGTTAATGGACCTCAGCAATGACCTCTCCAGTTTGACCTTTGCTGAGTTGCTTACAGTATCTTAACTCAATACTTTTGACTCCGTCTGCACCATGTGGAGATTTAGCACAGTTTGTAAATAATCTACCTTAATTTAATAGGCAGCGCTCAGCAAAGAGGCCTTCAAACCTGATTAAGTATTTGTCACTGAGGTTTACTTTTGTCTGCACTTTAATTTTTTGTTTAGCTAGTTAACGTCTAGCTTTGAGAGTAAGTCTTAGACCTAAAAGTATAATGAGCATGTGAAAGGTCTCTGATCTTTGTATGTGACTGGTGTAACATGAGCATGACCAGTAATGCAACTTGTAAAATGAGCAATCAAGTAAAGAATGTATAAATTATGAAAATTAAAAATGTTGTCCACTTGTTTGAGTTTGCTGTGAGGTAAATGCTGCATACAAATAAAAATATTATTGCAATACATTAGTGAAATGTACTAAAAGTACACGTGCAATTTATTTACTTTTCATATTATATGAATTTAAAACTGAACAAAAACTCTGCTGTTTAGTATTAATACCAACATCAGTGATCATTTCTATCAGAAACATAAAACTAAAAGATGTGTACCATATTTACAGATGTATACAGGTACATTGTGGATCAATAATACTTCACTTGTGAACGCTACTATTTAGATCAAGTGATTCAATAAAAGAGGCCTGCTGCCTCCAAAACTAACTCATGGTGGAGCTGTGACATCTGTTCTATGAGCATCTGTCTCTCGTGTCACTCTGTTCTGGTAAACTGTTCCATGGTTTCCAATGAGTACATTTCTGATTCCCTTCACTAAACCATGCATAATATGCATGGTTTAAACTGTAATACAGTATAGTAGTAGCTTGATATCGTACATCAGAAAAATAGCTAGTTTCAAATGGAGTATTTGCGAGGGGTGTATTGAAAATAGCACTGGGAAGAAGTTCAAACCTGGACTGTGACAAATACAGCCCAACCTTTCAGCATTATAACCATCAGGTGCAAATGTGTGTTCTTTTTCAGGTTTTACATAAATTTTAGGACACCAAAAAGAGTCACTACGCATGTATCAGCTGATTCACTGGAAGACATGACTAGGTAATTAATGGGAATTCTTCACATACTTTGCATTTTAAATTTCAGTTTCAGTGCCATGACTCATCATAGCAACACTGCAGTCTACATGATTTGATTCAGTGGAGGTCCCCATTACTTACAACAGCATTTTAACACATTTTATTTTATAGCTCTCATTCATATCTTCAGTTAGTGGTCAATCTACCAATCGCTGCTCACCATCCATCATTAAAGGTTCAACTGTAACAAGCCGTTTAATTCTCCTAAATGGGCTTTTGTTATGGTTCTGAGAAGAACATGGTGACACCAAAGTCCTCCTTGTACAGGTCCCAGGTTTTTGGTTTGTGTGGGTTGTCCAGCTCTTCTCTGGGTAGAAACAGCCTGTGGAGAGTTTGGAAGAGATGCAGGGTTTACAGTCAGCACTAGTGTCAAAGCAGAGCCCCAGAAATAATTACATCAGAGCAACAGAAACATACTTGTTCTCCTCTATGAAGGAGGTATTGAACCAGAAGTAGAATGGAACATCTTCGTATCCTTTTGGAAGACCCTAAAAAAGGAACGATGAAAAACAAAATATAAACTGAATCATAGGACAATCAGTCTTAAAACCAGCTTTCCTTTCAAAGGGTGTAAATGCAAACACTCACAGCACTTGATTCAAACATGACTTTAACATCCCCTTCAACCACAGGCCCGTCCTGTAGGCTGATGACTGCTGCATTGCTGCCCACATCAGGAAATACCTTTAAAACCACCAAAAATGTGTTAGTCACCCATTCGACCAATGAATCAGTATGACCTGATGAGTGTGTGTGAAACTTACTTTGCAGTTTTCCTGTTTGGCACACACACATTGAAATACCAGCTCTTTCTTCACAATTATCTTCACCTTGAGATCACTGCCATCACCTTTACCCACACCTGGGTACAAGAGGGAATAAAAAGGATGTTACCACGGGCACAAAGAGATTTGTTAAGGATAGAGTTATGTATTAGAGTGCCCTGCTGGTTTGCAGGGTTTTATTTTACCTGCTATGGAATGGATGCGGATGCTCTTGATCCGGAGGCTTTTAGGTGGAGGTAGTTGTCTGTTGAACTTGGACTTCATGATCTCGTAATAGCCCACGTACCGGCTCTGTGGTTCACAAAGACACATAATAATCAAATGTGCAAGCAGCGTTGGACGGGCTTCGCGACCCGACAAGTGTCAGACCATGCTCTAAATTACATTTAAAACCACTTTATGTAAAAGATATGTGACTGGCTTAGGCTTTTGGTTGTAGGAAAATTATTTTATTAATATATTATTTGTAATTTTGGTGTCCTGTCTGGGTGTTGCCTTCACTCTGTCTGCCACTTTTTAATTTCTGATACTACCACAGGGAGGCGCCAGTCAGAATTTTTTCAAATTCTACAGGAAGAGGCATTAAAAGGTTCAGTGTGTAATATTTAAGAGGATCTATTGACAGAAATGCAATTTAACATAAATAACTATGTTTTCAGTGGTATATAAAGACCTTATATAGTTGTGTTTTAATTACTTTAGAATGAGCTATCTACATACACCGCGTGTCCCCATTCCATGGATGTTTCTACAGTAGCCCAAACGCACAAATTTGGACTACTAATTATTTAATACAAGAGCCGACCGAGTGTGTCGGCCACCGTAGCTTCTCCTGCACGCTTGAAAAGGGTGGGGTGAGCGGTGACAGATGATGTATTCATTTGGTGTCAGAATAATCTGAATTTTTCCCCTCCTTAAATCTTTAATGCAAAAAAAGGGAACAAAGTGTACATCGGGCATAAAGAAGTATATAGAACAGTATACAAATATATAGGAAGACACAAATAATAGAAACTTTTGTGTAAAGAGGACCATGTGTTGAAAGTTTTCACAGCGTTGTTGTTGTTGGATTTAGAAATTAAATTGATATAAGATATTATAGATGTCAATGTTTTGTTTATATGCTCTGATAATGCTAATCCAACAAATCTTTGTAGTAGCGTCCATGCTGTCCACATTCTGACTTAAGAGCACATGAACATACACTGAAGTTGGAAAAAATGACTTCACAACTCGGAAACAGGGAGTATTATGTAGCTGCAGTACCCTTGTTTACTTTGATACTGCCAGCTAGCTAGCTATGTTACTCTTAACCTCCGAAGCCAATTACCCTTATCACAACCATCACCGTGTGTGTGCCTAAACCTAAATTATTGATTATATGGATGTCGAACAGCTAGCACATCAGCCGTGAGGCCGATGTGTGCAGCTGTAGGTTATCATTCGTGTTGCTGTGCATTACCACCAAGAATTACAGTCCTAGAACTGCGGTCCCAAGATTGCGGGGGTTGTGAAACTGCAGCCTCTAGGACTGCAGCTATATAATATTGGAAAAAAGGATCATCCAAGTGAGCCTTTTGTTGAGATTTGCAACCCTCACTACTAGATGCCACTAGGCACTGAACCTTTAAGTGTAGACCAGAATTTGTAAATAAATGCTTCTATTAAACATAGTCTCTCTTTGACTCAGAGTGGCTTGTTCTTACCTGAGAGGGAGTCTCCACTCCCTGAAACTTGGAGCTCTGACTCTTGTCTGTCCTCCTCTCACCAAAATACTCCAGACTCTCCTGGTGGACAAACAGATGGATGTAAGAGAACAGTCTTGTTTCACAATGTGTTGCTTATTCATTAATCCGCTCTTGAACAAATCTCAAACTTAAATAGAAGTACCTGTGCACTCTCAAACTGGTCACTGTCAATAAACCAGGTGCACACCATAGTACCTGTGCGTCCTGTGAAAGAGAGCAATAGCATTATGGAATTATGTACAAGTTGTCCTGCTCAGTAAAGGGTGAAAGTTACACATTTTTAACAACTGAACACCAAACTACTGTATTTGTTCAACACAAATTATTCACTAAATGATAATGACTTTGACATCACCTTTCCCTCCTTTACAGTGAATGGCAATGATGTTTTTGGGATGAGCAGACATCCACTCCCGCACGCTGGCTGTGTATTTCAGCATGTCCCTGAGGCAGATAGTTGAACGATAAAGGCATTGTTATAAGCTGGCAGGCCCTTGTGTGGAGCTGTAATCTAAAGCGCTTAAGTATAATTACCCACAAAAGGAAGAGGTGAAACTAAAATGACACATCACAGCAGAAAATGTGACTCACTCTAAGGAGGGGACGTTGTGGTCGTCAATGAACACCCGTTCAACCCTGTAGTGGAAGAACTGGGGGTCGTAGCCTTTCTCACCTGGAAACAAAAGATGATAATGACATGGTATGTGTAGTTTTACATAACAAGGGAATTCAGTACAGGTAATGAGAGGACGTGCCAACTTACTGCACAGATTGTAAACTTTATAGTGGTCTTCATGTTTAGTGTCTAGGAACCTCGCCACTTCCTGCACAGAAAGAGAGAAGTAGGGTAAAACACCTGTCAAGGTGTTTACTTAGAGGTCTGTGTGTTGGAAGTTCCTTGTATCTATAGTGCCTATGAATGGATTCATTTGGAAATTGGTGAGTGTAATTAGATTGGAACCATTTAAAGTAATGGAGGTGGACTCATGTATGTTGAGATGACTTTTGTGTCACACTTAACCTTGATTGGATTCCTGTAAAATGACTGCTTCCCGGAGGAGGGGAAAGACATGGCGATGACGCGGTCTAGAGAGGAGGGTAAAGATGCAAATAAATGTTCAACTTCTTAAAGGGGGTAAGTATTAGTCATGTATTTTTAGGCGTGCATGTATGGTGTGTTTCCTTTATTCAACATGTAAAAGCTACCTGTGACATAGGTAAGATCAAGGTCAAATCCATCCTTCTGATAACGCCGCTTATTCTCCGAAACCTGAGAGAAATACCCAGTCATTGATCAGGAAGTAGTAGACATCTTCTCTCTTGATGCCAGCACTGATTGTACAAAGATGCCATTCTCCAAAAGACTCCAGTAAACATAGCTGCATTAGCTATTAACAGTGTTCTACGCTTCCATGGCGGTGATCTTACCATCCTCCTTGTGACCTTCTCCAGCTCTTTCCTCTGAGCTGCCAGTCTGAAAACTCTCACCAGGATTATTATTCTCAGGAAACGAAGAAACGTCACCACCCTGTTGAAGAATTAATGAAAAATGTATTAAATAAAATACTATTAAACAATAATAGGTTCAATGGTACTCACTGTAGGTTGACGTTGAGGTAGGGCAATATTGAGGCTAAACAACAGACTTTTATTTATTTATTTTTTTTAATCTAATCACATTTGCTGATGACATGCAAGCGGTGGGCCTCATCAGCAATAATGATGAAGCATTATAGAGAGGAAGTGGAGCAACTGGTGAGCTGGTGCAACGACCACAACCTATCTTTCATTTAGAAAAAAACAAAAGAAATGGCTGGTGACATTAGGAGGGTGCCGGCTGACCACTCTCAACATCAAACGCATAGCGAGGACAGACAAGAAGATCATAGGGGTTTCCTCTCCATCCAGGACATCTTCCAGAGGCGCTATGCATGCAGAGCCTCTTCTGTTGCCCTCCCCTCCCTCATTCTGCAACAGCTTCTTCCCCCAAGCTGTTACCCTAAACAACCTACTTATTTATTTAATGAAGCACAGTCTGTAAACAGCCCTGAGAAAAGGTCTAATCAGGCCACATAAATGAAAACACCTGTGTGGGTGAACTAAGGGTGTGTAGGGTCTTTAAGATCAACAGAGCATCAATTTGAGAAGCATTATAAATCCAATATTCCTCCAGACCCTACAGAGCTTCCAGGTATATTATTCTTGACAAAGAAACCAGAAGCCTAACACAACTAAATGAGCCAGTTCTAGTAGTATTACATATCATTTAGCTGGGGATGCAAGAGGACGCAGGTACCTGGGGATGAGACTGGCTCCTGACAGGTCAGTGAAAGTGTAGATCATGGTGACCACCAGCGTGACAACCACAACGCCGGCGTCTATGATGTTCAGCTTGGAGCTGAAGTAAGCTTTGAACCTAAAATGTGGTTAGTTAAACATAACAAGAGACAAATTACATGCTGCTGACAAAAACTGCCCAGGTCATGCAACTAATAGTATCTGCTTTAATCTTAATTAAAATGAAAAACATTATTGTAGTGCATTTATTCAGCAAACCGTAACGGAATCATTAGGTTTCCCAAGGACTAACCCAATACATGCCATACATTTCCTGTCTAGCTTCCTCTTCATAACTTCCCGTTTAACAGCTAATCACACTTTTTCTGCTGAAACAGGACTCTCTGGGAATGCTTGCATCACTCTTTCATGCATTTCTCACATTCGCAAGCAAACCGTTGTGCAGTGATAACAAGATGAGTATACTACATTTAAGTATTTATAAGTATCAATCTGTTACGGCAATACCACAAACGTGTGCCTGAAGTAACCCCCTGTGGCTATGCAGTGGTTGTACTACTATAATAATGCATGCAAGGTCTTCCTGTTTCACTCACCCTTCCACATAGACCCGCAGGAGAACGTCAAGGAGAAAGAAGAAGGAGATGGTGAGGGACACAGCCTCCAACGTATCCCCAAGCTCTCTGCTCTTGGCTGGCAGTGACAGGTCCACGATCACCAGCACAAAGTCCACTAGGATCAGTATCACTCCAAATATACTGGAGGAAAAAGACAGGAATTTCACATTATCAAAAACTACCAGGCCAGGAAGGAACGATTGTTGGCTATTATCCCTCTGCATTATCCAGTATCTTTTCAAAAGAGTTCCCAAAACACACTCACCGAAATCCAAAGGACATAACAAAAGGCGCAATCTTCTTCCGGATATTGCTGCAAAGGAGGATAGAATGTAATGCTTGCTAGTAAATGTACTTCTGAATAAAGTGTTAGAAGTGTATAGAAAACTGTCTGCAGTTTAGTTAAGCTGTAAAAACTTACTGATACATTGTATCTGGTACCACACTCTCATCCTTTCCATCGTCAATCTCCACTTTAGCGTCCTCCATCTTTGCAGTGTTTCTAATAGATACACAGAAAGATAGATAACATAAAAATCAGACACTATACCCTGAAAAATACCACCACCTTCTCATATTAAAGCAACAGTTCAAACATGACATGGTGCGGCAAAGATCCACATGAAAATGAAAAAGTTTATCTTCCCCTTGTTAGTTGATTAATCTTCCTCACCCATTTACACCTGAATCTGACCCTGGACTGAAATACACAGAGGACATGATGTGCGTGTCGTCCTTCGCGCTTGTTTCTGAACGTGTCGTCTCTGCATTTGAAAAGAAGAATGTGAAGAAAAAAAAAAGATTAAAACTCCCTTGTTCAGTATGTTGCTCCAAAGTTACAATGTAAAAAAAAAGAAAGTAAAGACAAGCCAGAGGACAGAAGCGGTGTGTCCTGCCCTGGAATGCTGTATCTCTTCCCCATAAATCCTCTCTTTGAAAGAAATCAGCACAAACACCTTTAACGTTACTTATAATCTGCATCCAGCGTGACATAGCAACCAGTGTTTTGACTGATGCAAAACCTATTAACGTTAACTGTTACAAGCAAGAAAGGAGAAAACTCTTTAAGAAGTATCCAGGATGAATTACCTGTAAGACAAATGTAAACAACGAGTTAGATATAACAACACAAAACGCTTTAAAGCTCCTCCAGGACAAGCGCCTTCCCACCGTCCGCTCAGCCTCCTTGAACGGTTTATTAACCGGCTAAGTTAAAGTTAGCCACCAAACAACTAGCTCCACTTGCACCGCCTGCTTACCGTTAGGGCTGTCATTCGTGAAACGTTACGGGAGTTTGTCTTGTGACTTCTTGTGAAGACAAAGGAAGACGGTTCAAAGGTTAACCGGTTGGATTTTTTTCCCGTCCATCCACTATTCCTCATCGTTTTTGCAAACGTAGCGGTTTCAGACTTCCTGGACCTCGGCTAAAAACACACACACACTCACTCAAAACGCTCAGCCCTTTTTTCCTCTTTACTATTTACTCGTCTTTCCTCCTCGACCCACTTTCACACCACAGCTGGCTAAGCCTGACCATAAGCTTCCTGTACAGAGCTTTTCAAACAACTACAGTTATCTTAAAAAGTAACTTTAAATTAGCGTTAAGCCAGCCCCTGACTACACCCTCTCTAACATCTGGTTTTAATTGAACGCGCATTCCCAAATGCCAAACAGTCGCATCATACAGTTTGTAAAGTCTGATCTTATTTGAAAGGAATAACCTTATCGAGACAAAAAATGTGTTGGAGATTTGCTTCTTATTAGCAAAATGTGTAAATAATTTGTATTCGTGGAAATATTAACTGCTAGGTTTTTTTTAAACTATCAACCAAAAACGAACACAAGGGGGAGCCAAATCATCTCTGTCACACAGAGTTGTTTAAAATACTCCGAGCTCTGTGGATTCATTAACTCAGTTATCACTTTCTTTATTTTATCTTCTGCATCGCTTTGAATAGCCCACTTTCCTGGGGGGGGTTGTTGTTGTGTTTTTACATTTATATGGTTGTATTTGAAGAGTAAGCATTATTTCTGTGTAATGGAGTCACAATGTCCATAGGAACACAATGATAAAAAAAATAAATCAGTAATTTATGGAAAAGAATATACACGTTTTTAGATTTTTTAATAACCAAAAAAGGAAAAAATAAGAAGGCCAGTACTCCTGGCATGTCAGGAATGGTGTCCTCTTGACACTCTGTCCATGAGGGCATTTGCAGGTCTGGAATCAGCTACTCTTTCCAAATGCTAGAATGCTTGATAGAGGAGGAAAACCTCAATCTGGCTCAGGTTCAGTTTTTGGAGAGGTTGGACAAGTCTGGATCCTCTAATGTGGACCATGCAGAACCGGCCCAGCCTATAAATAATACTGAGAGGAAAAGAACACTGAACCTGGGCAAAACAAGGGGAGGCGTTGTGAAATGAAGGTAGGCTTGCGGTGCAGAGATTTTTTAAAGTTTGAAGGGTTGTAGTTTCTTGATAAGTATTTTTGTATATTCTTCAACTTTAATATATGCTGTGTTTATAATTTCAGACTTATACTGCAGCAAGGGATTTCTCCCTAAAAGCCATGCCAATGTTGCTGTTGTTGGTTCTGGTGTGGCCAACCATTGCCTCTACTACACAGTTGTCAGTATGTAGCTTATCCTACTCTTTAAGGGCTTCAGGATATCTCTCCTTGATTTTGTATTGACATTGAAAAACATAAATTACAGACAGGGCTCCTCCACATAAATAAAATTGTTTCATAGATGCCTCGAAATGTGCCCCTGTGCTTTTGCTGGCCCCTCTCCGGGCACTTGTATCCAGTATTATTAAAACAAGTGTAGAAATGTCATGGATAACTTGAAATTGGTTTTCCTCATTTAAGGTACTGGACTCATGCGGGCAAGAGGTTGCAGTTCTCAAGCTCAGCATAAGGAAACTGGAGAATAAACTCTGGATGGGGTCTTGGCAGATTGAGCACTTGCAAATGCACAAATACTTGAAGCCTTCTCAACCTGCTGTGTCGAATAGCAAGCTTGAAACAGACACAGCTCCTGGTGTAAACCACAACAGCAGTGGGACCTTAGGCAGCTCTGATTTGACGCTGATGAAAACACTTCCACCAGCAGGCAGTTTAATTGTCCATGACAAAGGTAAGAAAAAAGCTCACATCATCATAAAAGTATATTTCAGTTTGGGAAGTGCAGTCTATGCAGCCTAAAGTGCATTAGAGAATAATGAAAATCTATTTTCCTAGACTGTTCTGAGCTGTTTGACAGACTGAGACCACCGAGCGGTTTTTATCGCATCAGACCCAAATCACACCAGGAGCCTTTTTTGGTCTACTGTGACATGGAGGATGGAGGTGGATGGACAGTGTTTCAGAGACGTCGGCATGGAAAAGTTGACTTCAATAGGTATTTAAGCAGAGAAAGTAGCTCACATACAATATATAGTAAGTTTACAGTCTTGCAGGCAAAGCCAGCATCAGATTACAATGTAGGTGTTGATGTAGCGTACACAGCTCTTTCATGTGAGGTAAAATATCTGCCTACTTGTCATTGTAGAGACTGGGTGGACTACAGAGACGGCTTTGGTGACTTCAAACTGTGGAATGATGAGTTCTGGTTGGGCAATGAGCACATGTATTCTCTACTCTCAGAAGGCCAGAAATGATTAAAATTCCAGAATTCCTGTTTCTCCTTTTATAGGCGGCCTTGTTTTTAACTAGTCTTTTTTTCCACTATCTAAATTATCATTTTTTTTTGCCCTGAAGGTAAGAACCTAGTGAAGATAGATCTAATGGACTGGGATGGACAACGAAGTTATGCATTTTATGAGAACTTCAGGATCAGTGATGAGGCTGTAAGATGAACAATTTTACAGTTCTGTTTCTTGGTCTCAGAAGTCACTGCGATCCCCAACAAACATGACTTCCTTTAATGCCTATTCCAGGATAAGTACCGTCTCCAGTATCAGCTGTATAGTGGGCGAGCTGGAGATGCTCTGACTGGTGGTGGGGGGATGGTGGAGCACTGGTCTACTTGCCTCAGCGGCATGCAATTCAGCACCAGAGATCAAGTTAGTTAATCATCTATTCCCTTTTTACCATTCTAAGATGGCATTTTGTGATGGTGCTAATAACTGTAAGATTATTGACAATGTGCCAACGGTGACTGTGATATTGTGTGTATTGTTACTGTTTACTATATTTTGTATTGTGTATTGTGTGAATGGTTGAAGGCTGTTTGCTCCGTCTATTGTAGTATATTTTGATTTGTTGTTGTTTATTCACACAAAACAACATTTCGTTCAGCTGTGTACTTGGTATGCAGAAGAATGACAATAAAGCATGACCTGACTGTGATAACTCTGGTGACATTTATGGTCATTGACAGGACAATGACCGCTACCTTCAGGGCAGCTGTGCTCAGGAGAATAAGGCAGGATGGTGGTTCAACAGGTGAGACTTTTCAAATAAAATGTATCACCATGGCTGTCTGTTGTCTTTCTTCTGTTTGATTGTCGTAAAGTATTGCCTGTTGAACCACAGAAAGGGCCATACTGGTCAAACTAAGAACACAGTTCTTCCCAATTTATTGTAAAATAAAAAATAGAAAAAGGTTTAATCCTTTCAATTTGCCTCTATTTAAAATGTTAGATAATTGACATTGTGTACTATCCTTCTGTCTACAGGTGCCATGCAGCCAACCTAAACGGGAAGTTCTACCGCACAGGGACGTACAAAGGCCAGTATGACAATGGCGTGGTGTGGGGGACCTGGAAAGGCCTTTGGTATTCCCTTAGACACACCACCATGAAGGTGCGGCCTCTGGTTTTCTTGGACTTCACGGGCAGTGGAGCAGGGGAAATTTAAAAACACCAGGCATCATATTCCCATGTGTGATACAGAATAAGGTTAAAATAAATGACAGCAAAGCCTGACTTCATGTTAACATTATATGTATTTTAATTTCTCCCTTTGCTTCATTATTTGAAAATATTATCAAATGGCAATAGTACAGCATCTTCTATTTTCCAGTAAGCATTGCTTTCTATGAAGTGTATTATTATATTACTCAAACAATAAAACAAAAAGCATCTCAGTGCCTCACTGACTTTCATTTTTGACTGCCTCAAACACAGTTGAAACTGTATATTACCACTCTAACTTGTGCATTTTGCAGTATGCCTGACATTGCTTATATCACACATACAAACTGTCCCTAATCAGTAATGTACAGTGGGACTTCACAGCATGATAAAAACAAGCACATTCAGCAGTGTAGAACAATGAAACTCACCTGTCTTCTGTAGAGTTCTGAATACTGTCATCAACAGTGCATACAGACGTCAAGGTCATGTTAAATAAATGACTTATTGTGGTACATACTGTACCAGTAGTTGACATACAAAGAAACTTACAAAGAGACGTTCCGAACACAGTCATACTCTAAACAAGACAGAAATATGTTCAATTATAAAGCCTCTCAAAATTATAAATTTTAAAACAATTACAAGAAAATCCTTATCTTTGAAACATAAACTTCTGGAAATATCTTCTAAAAAAATTTTACTTTTTGTTCTCCTTCTCATTGATGAGCAAACTCCCTACAGTAACACATTCTTAATACATTCTTCACTGATATAAGAGTCTTTGTAAAGATGTGGTGTAAAAGATGATTTATGTTAGGAATAAATTTAAGTTGCAAGGGCAATTCCTTACAGGTGTAGTACAGAACCACAAACATGTGATCTACTATATCTCCCCTACATTTGAGGACAGATCTACGTCCAACATCCTCTGCTCTGCCTCACTCAGCCTATAGGGTGAGCCACCACTGCTGCTGTAGTCTCCAGACATTGGCAGAGAGCGGCAGAGACCTTTCCTCTGCTCCAAGGACGATACACTAAAGGTGGAGCTGCGCTGCCGCCCCTTAACCCCAGAGCAGGACTGAGCCTCCTTTAATTTCCGGGCCAGCATGTTCCTCTGGATAGGTGATGGGCCACGACGGTTCCAGTTCTGCTCAGCCCGCTCTGCACGATCCACACTCAGGCTGGCAGGTCCCGCTGCTGGACCCCCAATCCCTGAGATTCCCCCTCCACCTCCTGTCTCAACACTCCTTTGCCCAGTGCTATTGAGGTCTGCTTTAGCATGTTTCTCTGAAGCTGAAATGCTGTTTGTGTTGGTTCCTGTGTGTTTGAGCTCACTACTATGAGAAGGAACAGGTGTCTCTATCCAGGGCTTCCTCTGGTCATTTCTCTGGGGTCTGTATTTAACCCACTCTGAGACCTCATGCTCTGGAATGGGGTAAGAACGGTATGGCTGCCTCTCCCTTCCTCCTTTGTTCCAACAGCTTCCTTCCGGGAGGGTCCGAGATCCCACCTGAAAAGACAACGTATGATCTTTGTTATTTAACAAAGCATAAAGAGACCTACACAAATCTGACCTACAATAGATAAATAAATACACAAATGAAGCTGGATAGGTGACCTGGGTCATGCTCCTTTCTCTGAACTGTCTGGACTGTGCAGAGGGTGGAGGCTGCGGTTTGGTGTCATTAAAACTGGAGGTCCGGCGGAAATTTGGATTTTTATGAAAGGAGTTTACTATTCCTGCATCTCCCCCTCCTCGTCTGAGACCTGCTAAAGCACTCCTCTCTACCATCTCCACCCAGTCAGCTGTACGGTCACGCCATTTTGAGCTGCCCCCACTTGCATGAGAAGAGATAAGAGGACCTAAGACCTCCTCCAGTCTGTCTGGGGTGACACTAGAAGTCTGCGATGGCGGCTCAGAAAAGGGAGCTGCAATACAAAAATGGTTGTGGTTGGCACCGTCCTGGAGGCACAAAGGGAGTGCGGAATGAGCAAATCCAGTTGGTGTAGGGATGGGCGAGTTGGTGGGTGAAGCAGACGTCTCTACCAAGGTATCCTGGACTGGGCTTGAGGAGACATGGTACAACTGTGTGGCCTCTTTTAACCCCTTTTTCTTCATTTCTTTCAACTGCTGCTGAGCCAAACGGTACCTAGAGAGACAATTATATTTTAATTTCGAAGACTGGGGAGCGGCAGAATATATTTGACAAAAACATTCTATGAGTAATTAAAGTAAACTATATTCCAAACATACCCAAATATTGGTGGCAACAACTTCTGACCTGTGGGGGACAGCCTTTCTGGGTCCTGTGAGACAGGTATCACCAGTGTCTGTGAGAAAGGCTGGCTGCCCAGGAAAGGAGTGTCTGTCTGGGCTACAGCCACAACCATGCCCCCCTGTGGGCCATGGGCGTCGGACAGGCTGGGTCTCTGGAGGCTGTGGCCACAAATGGAGGCCTCATCAGAGAGCTTGCGTCCTCCAGGGGAATGCATAGAGCCTCTGTGGACAGAGCTGCACGGAGGGGTGTGGCAAAGCTTTCTCCACACAGTCACCACAACAGTAGCCAGAATCACGGCCAGGCAAAGGGAAATACCAGCTACCACGACTATGTTACCACCTAGGGGTGGAACTCCGAGAGATACAGGGGGGAGGGATGGAGAAGGTGCAGGCATCACTGCAGAAAAAGAAGGGGAGACAATTATGTTCATATGTTAAGTACGTAGTGATGGGAATTACAGCTCCGAGAGCCGGCTCTTTTGACTCCCTAAACGGCTCTTCATTTTGAACTATTTCCGCTGGTCACTGCACAAAAGAAATATGCAAGATTCTTATCTGCAATACATTATAATATAATAAAAATATTCTCTCATTTTACAACCCTGTTGTAATATGATAAATAAATGTACCTTGTACCTTCAATAACTATCCTAGTAATAACACCCTACTAATGAAAATGAAATAGCATGAGATAGAGAAATTCAACAGAAAATCAAGGGACAGAGATAGTGAAACAGAAAATAAGGAGATAAGGGGTGAAGAGACTGACCAGCACAGTCCTCCAGTGAGCAGAGGGACTGTTCCTTCACCATGCCAGCGCACTGCATCCCTCCACACCTGAGGGCAGCAAACACTCGCGCACTCGTTCCCTCACCCCGTCTCCACAGCTCACACTGCACACACTCCACGGCAGCCATGGACCCCATGACTCTGCAGAAAATCCGGAAAAATGTGCAGTTGCAGATAAATGAGTACATTTAAAAGCCTTAATTCTGTGTTAACCAAATGATCACATTTCAATAAGCCTACTCTGCTATCTTTATCCACATTATCAACAAAGACTAAGGTTTTCATAGTGTCTGCTCCATGGAATTCTGGGATGAGGGATTAAAAAGCCAGTAGAAGTATAACACATCGCACCCAACTACGTCATATCACATGACATCCAGAAGTTAATGCTTTATCCCCAAAATAGACAAAGCAAGGACACATCTACGGTAACGTTCTATAATGAGAATGTGACAGCTGGTGGCTGATTTACTTCTTGTTTGAATAATTATAACTGACTATGCTTAATGTGTCAACATGGCCTTGAGGCACCTTATTCAATGGATTCCCTTTAAATTTGGTAAATGGCGCCCATGTACAGTATATTTAATAGGGTTTAACATCAATTGTCTGTATACGTATACAAAATAATGGAATAACTGGTTATGTGCTGAGGTTGATACTTCACTTTAATGTGAAATTATTTACTGTGCCATAACACTGGAATGTGCAATACAGTGTCCAAGGCCTGTGAGCCGCAGATTACAATACATATTTCTGTTTTGTGGTGATTTGCTGTTCCGGCACTAATTTAATGGTTTTAATGCTCAATTACACAGTTCATGTATTTTTCACAAGATACTACAACAATTTCAGTGTATTTCAGTCTTGCATGCCCTAAAATAGCAATTCAAGTCATGACAGTGTGAACATGCACCAGGTCCCTGAAAATGAAGAAGCTAAATGGAATTCAGCCATCATTCATTTTCCTTTTACCACCTATTCTTTACCTTCTTTTACCTATTCTTTAGACAAGTCAAATGTCTTCTGGGTAAAAGGCCTCTTTCCTACTCTTTAATAAGTTCATTCCTCAAATAGTGACTGGAGTTCTATCCACCACTTGAATTTATCAATCTGGGAAAAATCTGGATCACTAAAGCAAAGCAACTCTGTCACTCCCTCAAAATTCAGGTCTTATTAAGCAAACCACTGCACCCCTGTTTCACTGACACGGCTGAATGACAAGCAGAGGTGTAATGTATTGGCAGCTTCCAAATATGAAAGTGTTGACCTCACCTGCACTCCTGTGAACCACTAGACAGGTCTGTGCAGGACTAGGGGAGCGACTGAAGTTGAAAACAAAGCGAAAGCAGTACTTGTTCCTTCCTGGGTCAAACACAGAACAGTTGAATTCTGTCTCATTCTCTCCCTGAGTCAGCCAGTTAAAAGCCAACGGAGGAGAAGAGGGCTCCTCTGGTCCAAACCCCATTAGGGCTGTTCCGCTTGCTCCCATCCCAGAGGAAACAGTAACTACTCTTCCATTGCCTGCCTCCTTATACAGCAATACTTTCCCATTGATGTGAGCACAAGGTGGGGTTATCAGTTTAACAGTCATAGTCCCTTCACAACCACTCCTGTAAGCGTTGGCGTTTTCCACCAACAGCTTGTAGGAAAAGATACGGGACAGGTAAAGAGGTCCAGAGCTCTTCACATCCTGTGCTGCATGAGGAGAACGTAGAGCCACTCGTATGAAGTCTCTTTCTGTGAAGGGGAAAGCGCAGGCCAGCTCAACACTCTGGGAACGGAGGGGTTTGATTGGGTGCCGTGTGCGGGCTCGGATCTTGTCAATGCTGTTTCGCCCTATCTGGTTGTACTCCATGTAGCTGACTTCTAGAAAGAGAGAAGAGTCAATGCCGCTGGAGCAAGCCTGGAAGTGTTCATTAGTGGCTATCCCAACCTGGAGAGAGAGAGGGAATAAGGGAATTATGATAATCACTCAGGTCATCATTGTGTACAAAGTTTGAGATCCTGTTTGAGATCTTGTTCATCTTACCTGAAAAGATCCTGAGCGGTTTCCTGCCTTCTCCACAGCGACGTGAAAAGTGGGCCACTGCACCTGCAGTTCGGAACTCCACCACCAGGTAGTGCTCTCCGTGCTACTTTCGTCCGTGCCATTAGCATGAGACACAGCAGAGATGATGGTCTGCCTCAGCAGGAACCGGAAAGTTCCTGCATACAGGAAGCAAGAGCAGTTGAACTCCACCCTACCGGTCGATTGGTTATTGGGGAGCGTCCTGTTCAGGAGGGTGGTATTGGTTTCCGTGTTGACCAGAGAGAGGCTCGTGTTGCGGACGTTGCTGCTGTTGGATTTTGTGCTGAAGTCCACAAATACACTGGCGTTGCTAAGGGCAACATGGAAGGAAGGCCAGATATTGAGCCCTGCAAAAGCTACAGGACAGGATGCACAAGAACAAGATAGGGCAAAAAGAAAGAACATTTTACCTATTGTCAATGAATCTTCCACAATATTTCTGAGTATGTCCACCATGGGGAACACATTGTGTCACAGATTTTGTCATCATTGTTTCTTTGCTTATTTTATATAACTCCTTTTTGTATATCTGCTCATTACATTTTGACTTTGCAAACTGTTTGTTACTGTGCCCGTAGGGTGTGTTTCTGGTTCAATTTACTGCAGTGATTCAATAACATGACATTTTATGGAATTGATATATCCTAATGCTAATCTGTTTAAGTGTGGATAACATGTACAGTTTTCTAATTAGTGTTTGGATTGTATAGAAAGTGGAAGTCAAACGGGAACAGTTATTTTTAGCTGACACAAATTTTTTAAATCAATTTGGGAGGAAACTGCTCTGCAGTGTCACTTTTGACAGCATAGTTGTTCATCATGATTGATGATGTATTTATATAATAATATATTTTTTTAAGTGATATCAAGTTCAATTTTATTGATCACACAGCCACAAATGGAATGTGGAATTTGCTCAGTACAACTAAATAATAAGCTCAATTTTTAGCACAGACACTGTGGATCCACAAGTAATTTATAGGCATCAGTAGAAGTGAGCAACATTATTCATACACAACAATTAGTAGTTAACTGCTTAGCAGTATGTTAGTCCAATATCAGTACCCGAGGAAACTATATAAACATTGCAGCACAGCAGCATATTATTTTAAGAGCTATTGTGCTGAGTAGTGTGTAATTCTGTTCTGAAAAACCTCACATCCTCACAAAGCAAAGAGGGTGTGGGAAGAGGAAGAGGCTGACCCTCGCTACCCCTCTCCCTGTACCCTTTGTATGAATACAGGATGGTACAGCCCGTTCATGTGTTTGATCATATGAATTAAAAATCGATGATCCTGCCAGCCTTTCCAAACATGTAATTAATGTTATTAAGATGGTTTACTGACACTCACCATATCCCATGAGCACCAACAGGAAGGGCAGAAGTGAGAGAGCCTGTGGCATTCCGATGTCTCTGTTTTCTCCTACACCACATGACCGTCCTCTTCCACCACCCCTGACCTCTACAAAATCAGAGGCAAACCACAAAATAAACTTAGAATCCACAAGAAGGCAGCAAGCAACAGCCAATTGTGCTTGTAGGTGTCATCAGATGGGAGAAGGCATGGAAGAAGTAGTGCAGTGATCTGAGGTATGAAAAACAGGAAGGCTACAGCATGATGCCGTGACCATGAGTGTTCTGGATTTACTGTGGCGTCTTCCACTTCCTTCCATCTTCACAATGGGTATGGAGGGCTGCCTTCAGCACAGTAGTGTAGTAGCTATATAAGGGCTTGGTCCATACAAATATTCATGAGACACTGCAGAGCCAAATCCTTGTTGTTGGGATGCTTGCAAAAGTTGTCACTAATTGTTTTTCTATTGTTTCCTTAGAAAAACAATAGACCCCCCCCCACCCCCCCATTCAAATTCAGACTGTTTTGCACTATAGCCATGGACTAATCATAAGATAGCAATTACTTTTTATAAGTAAATATGGAGGCTATCCTTAGGTGAAGACATCTGAGTTTTTATACAGAGTCAACTCCCAACCAAATAATTATAGTAGGCTATAATTATAGTTAATTTTTCTCCAATAGGCTGCTCAACTAAAAATCTGTGCTTAGCTAGGAGTCTAAAAGTGGATGAAGACTGTATATTTAATTACCACGTCACTTCTTCTGAAATCTATTTTTAAAGTAATTATAAACCTGTTTATCTGCAATTAGCATACCTAGTGTTTAAACGTAAAGTTCCTCGCGCCTTTGGGACACAGTGGCCAACCTTCATTGTTTTGTATAATTGGAAAATAAAGCTGTTGTAGGCTACTCACATCTTTTGTTGACGCTCCGGTTTTCATCACAGCAAGCGCAATAACGGCCCCTCCACGTGCTGGTAACACATTTCCTCTGACTGATAAACTGATAGCAGTTTCAGTGACAGTCAGCGGGACTAGCTTCACAGACCCAACAGGGTTCTCCGAGGGCGCGCGCCGCGGTATTGAGAGCGCGTGAAAGAGATCCGCTCACAATCACTTCACGGTCAGCAGCAGGGCGTACTGAATGTCATGTGCAATATTAAAGACAGCGTACTGTGACGTAGTGGTAAACAAACCAATAGGGTACTTTCTTTCAGAAAAAATATGATTAATGATATAATTAAATAAAATAGCATAGCCTGTTCTCACATCATCTCAAAAGTGTATGTCTGCTTTTAAACTCAGTTTTGCTGGGTACATTCCTGCCTGGAAGGATTAACATGCAAAATGAAGCAAAATTATTCACTGGTTGGGTTCTGAACTTTTCTGATTGAGACCCATGCAGTACCTTAAGTTACTTTGTGCAGGTGATGTTTATATAGGCTAACAGGTAAAGGCCAGAAACAAAAGCACAAATGAAAGGCCCTTTTCCCTCCTGGCAGTTTATACAGTATAATGCAATGTTTGAAAAACAGGCAGCTGGGTCATCAAAAGACTTCAGCACAGGTGCCTGAGGAAAATGACAAGATGGAGAGAACAGAACAGTCTATAATTCACTCCTGCAGTCGCACGTATATCATAAATGCAAAGGGGTTGTTAAAAGAGATTACATCTATAAAGAAACTCATGATATTCAGACAAAATAGCATTGTGTATCCTTATTGGCCTAGGAGGCAGTGCAACAAAATTAAATGTTTTATACAATGCAGTCGCTTTAATAAACTGCAGAACTATTCGTCTCACACAATCAGGTAACCTCTGCCATTCAGGATATGGATTAATTTAAAATGCACCATTGAGTAAAATCAGTCCATCTCAACATGCAAGAACAGGACCTATTTTGTGTAGAAAAACATTCACCCAAAGTTCACTTTCATACATTAATCCCTAATTACCACGATCAGACCTGCATCAGTTCGGCTCTCCTTTCTTTCCGTGAACCAAATGAGTTCATCTACTATCAATAAGTGAGCCACATGGCAGGTAATCTAATCAGCAGTAGAGCTCTGCAGACCTTCATTTTTCCTCCAGAGAGAGTGAGCAGAAAACAGGAAGCTTCTCTGGAGATGAAACAGCCTTTACTGCTCCGCTCGGTTCACAATGGGAACAAAGAATTTTTCTAGTCTGTGTGTAAAAAGCCCTACAGGGACATACTGAGATTAAAAATAAAAGTACAGCTATAACACTCCCAGCAGCAAGTATAACATTTAGACATGAACCTACTTAGACCAGGTGCTATTTATTACAATATTCTCACGCATTCATTACTACTTCTTCTATAGTCAACTGAAACTTACAAGCACTTGTCAGGAAAGCTTAACTGTACCAGTTAATAGGGTTTCAGTTTGGCTTCAAAACAGTCACAACTGGAATTTCTATAACAACCTCTGCAAAGAAGGGATGGATTACCTGAAGAATGACATTTGGCAATGTGCCCTTTATTTTATACGCTGTGAACCAAACTGCCAGCAGATCAGGCATCCTATTTTATCTTGAAATCTTGAATGTATACTAGATGAAGGGTATTACATTCAAAGACAGTTTGAGAGAGACAAGAATCGCGTTTTGATGAGTGAAAGACCAAAACACGATGGAAGGTGAATCATGGTATGTAGACTCTTTGAAATCTGGATATTTGCGCATGTTCTCTACCTCCTCAGAAGATAAGACAGCATGAAAGGTTTTATTCTTTAATCATTTATTACATAAATTTGTTTTTCACATAGGAGAAGGTGATCAGTGGTGATGGGGCTTTTCAGAACAGTCCACACTACTTATAAAAAAGGTATAAGCTGTGGGACACAAGTATGTGTCATCAATGAAATTCAAAATCAGAGCAAAGAAATTTACACTGCATATCCCATTAAGTCAGTTTATTTACTACTAAATACACATGATCACAACAAGCAGAGCAAATCTGGGAACACTTTGCTGCATGTACAGTATTTGCAGTTTCTTAAACCGTATCTTTCTGATAAAAACTTTTTAAAGATACAGTCAAGCTCTTAGACCTAAATAAAAAATAGCTCGTAGTACCCACAGTATATTTGCAGATATCTACCACAAACAAAACACCAACTGTTCAGTAATCATAACCAGACAGTCTAGTACAGCAAGCACTCTGCTGCTGTCCATTAGTATGTCCAAGTAGTTATAGATTGTTTTAATGCATCAGTCTATCAGCAGAGACAATGCAGCCCAGTTTAAGTTATTTGTCCTTGTTTTTTTTCCTCAACAATAATGACTCTAAACATTCAAAATCGGTTTGGGTAGAATCTCAAACCCTCAACAGAGTCATCTCTACACAAGTGGCCCATCTTTCAGCCAGCAACAACCTAGAGATGAGGAAGAAAGAGAGAAGAGAGAGAAGATGACACAAAGAAATGCAGAAGAGGACACATGTGTGACAAAATGCAGCAAAAAAGAACAATAAAATGAGAAACGAAGATAACTGTGAATATTATCATTGTTACAACAGTAATGTTTAGTAACAGGCCGACTAACTTGATAGGTCTTGGTAAAGTGCACCCTTTGTGCTTAAAGTAAAGTGAAGGCTCTCCTGGTGAGTAATGCCCATCAATATACAGTAGCGGAGTGTTTAAATGTATCTGTATCTATGAGTTAACTTACCGCTCTTTAGAAAGAAGAACAGAGAGACCCAAGAGCTTTGCAAACTCCTCTGCTGTCAAAGAGCCTTTGTCTGTCACCTGCAGGAGAGGAAGGTGATGAGATACAGAGATAAGGCAGGGAATAAGACAAAAAATGAGAACCTAAGGGGTTCGACTGTGACTTATCTCTAGACATTTTTCAAAGATAGCACATCTGTTTGATTGTCTAAACCATGTCAATGTCAGTATAATGTTTCTAACAGTACAGCTTACATTGTCCAGTGCTGAGGCTATCATTTCCTCTTCACTGTGAGACTTCAGCTGGACCACCATCACACCACTGTCAAACACACGCAGCCTACAAACAGGACAAGACAGATGAGGGAAAGTGTGTGTGTGTGTGTGTGTGTGTTTGTGTGACAGAGAGAGAAAGAGACAGACATCTGGTCAACATTAATGCTGAAGTGATAGGGAGCTAGCTAAAGCAGCCATCAGCTTCAAGCTACTAGGACAAGTGTGGTAGGGAAATACGCCAGTGTTTCTTTTGAAACCCCAGGAAGTGACAGGAAATGACAGTCAGAGGGCTGGACACCACTTCCAACAACAGGAAGCCAGGCAGGAAGAGCCTGGCCCCTGTGAAGCAGGCGCCAACCCTGTCCTATACTGCTTTAAAAAACACAGTCTAGTCTATACACAAATGAATGCATGAGAGTGCACACAGATTACATTAAATAATAAATAAACAATACAATATAAAGACAAACAAAACTCAAACTCACTTCAGCGGGAGCTTCAATGACTCAAACAACTTGCACGCGTTTAATAAATCTTCTGGAGATAAAAGCTGTGGAAAAGGAGGAAAAAATAACCTCAGTATCTGACAGGCCACCAAAGACATCTGTGTGTGAATGTATAGATATCAAAGTTGTGTCATCCTATCAGTTAAGCTAGAATGAACATACATGTCCACTCAAGTGTGATCTATGGAATTATTCAGTGGTTTTGTTCGTGCATTTATGTGAGCATTACCTCCATCCCTCTAGCACGGTTTACGAGACAGTACACCTCAGTGAGAGCCATCATACCCCCACGCTCCTGAGAGAGCAGGGAAAGAAAGTATGACAAGTAGATTCAGAATCAAAGAAGATGATTGAAATTAGTGTTTTATATTAGTCTGCGTAGATGTAAAACGCATGAAACACAAAAATTCTCACCTACCTCTAGAGGGGCCAGTAGCATATCTCCCAGTTGCTTAGCCAGCTGCAAATGGTAATGTGTACCTGAACCATGTGTCTCCCTGGTAACAGGGTTGGCAATACCCATGCTCAGCAGGTAGGACTTAAACCGGATGGTCTATAAAGCAGAACATAGCTTTTAATAAAAGGCAGCATCATAATAACTCTATTATCGTGTGCATATGTGCATCAGGCCTCAGGTGAGACAAATTGTGTGTATATTGGTCCTGGAAAGTATTACTTAGATGCTTGTATGATTAAAGGTAACTATTCCTGAATGTACAGTAATTTGAAATTTCATCCATTGTCCTCCTGTTTCTGTAATAGTGCTGGTTAAGTTCTCACCTCATCTTCTGTTATGTCTCCCTGCTTGTCTTTAATCTTGCTGGCTATAGACCTGGACAGCTCCACCATCTCTTTTGCCTGTTAATTAGAGTAGAAACTCATTCAGCAAATCCCAGTATATGCAGGATATTCTCTTATTGTTCTATATGTAGCACTTGAAGTAGGTCAGCGTATTTGATGAAGCTGATGTACTTGTATGATTCTTGCAATTGTTGGATTGTATCCACATGCTTGAAATGCACTTATTGTAAGGAAAATGTAAACATACAAAAGCATAAAGGAAAGCATTCTTTACCTTCACCATCAGCTTACTGAGGTCCTCAAAAGCCTGAAAAAAAAGAGACTAAATGAGTAACAGTGCTCAAAAATGTTCATAATTAAATAAACCTCAAAACTTCATGGCTACAGATATAATCATTCCACAGCAACCCCGCCCCTCCTCTGGCTGATGAATTGATCATTCCCCCTAGCCCCGAACCCACATTTGTTTCAATGTCATACCTTTCATAAAGCTAAATGTAATGTAATGTAATTTTAATTTAATTCATATTCAAGACAACTGTGTCCAACTGTGGTTGTATAAATGCATAACTTTATGGTGTCACAGCGCTGTGGTCATCTTGAATTCATGTCAGTTACAATAAATTCTGATGGTGACATTCTATGGCAGAAGAAAAAAACAGATCAAAACATTCATGGAAACTTTTTAAAACCAAACTACTCTGTGTTCTCGGTGTCTTCACAGTCGTGTTCATCAACTAAATACAAAACTTTAGCTTGGAGGAGACTGATGGCACAGCACATGGGCTGTTTATTTATCTCTCTCTGTCTAATCAAATCTGCCTATATTAGAGTGACACGACCACAATTCCCATTCTAACACATTTCTCAGTATTTAATTATTTTCGCTTTACAGTACCTCAGAAATGTTTTTGTCTGTTTCTTTCCTCTTCTCCTCTATCTTCCTCTCAATGCCAACAATCCCCACTGCACGTGTCCTTCCAGCCTACATGGCAGCGAAGGAAAAAAAGACGCACAAAGTGAAACACATAAGCAATTTAAATGTGGGTGACTAACCTCAAAGGACAAGGAAAGACAAAAATGGAGGAGGCAACCAATTGTGGCCAAATGCTGTTAACAGTACCTAAATTAATTTTGTGACTATGATTTCATAGAGTTTACAAAAAAACTAAGACGAATGTAATCTAATGACCAAATGCAAATGAAATGACAGAGCCTCTGCAAAAAGTACATTTTTACTTTGGTGTGAGTTCAGCTTTAGAATGCTGTACCTAATCTGAAGTTAATGCCAATGTCTACCAACTGAGCTACACGTCAGAATCAGAATCAGGTTTATTGATAAGTAGGTTTTGACATGCAAGGAATTTGCCTTGCATAAGAAAAGACAAGTACTGCAAAAGTCAAGAATCATTCACATAAAATACAATTACAAATCTGAAGAATATATTTTAAAAATATGTGAAATATATCTGTTTGTAGACTGAAAAGATCTGTACAGTGTTTGAAGACAAAGATACTGGAATGTGCAACATATTGGCCATAATTCTGACTATTTTAACTTTCATACTTATACTCATAATATAGTGACAACACTGCCACCGTGTGGAACATTATTTGAATTGACAGGAGTGTCAGTTCCATGTACATCACATATTGAATGGCAATTTTGGTCACAGTTACAGTCCTGGGTGTGGAAACAAATCACATCTCAATCAGGCAAATTCCAGGTATATAATGCAGCGGTAAGGAAGAGATTCTAGTCGGGTGAAGAGGAACTTCTGTTCAGGTTCTAACCTGAGAGCTGGTTCCTGTGGAGATGGGTTGTGAAACTGGTGTATTCTCCCATCTCTTCTGAATCATTTCCTCCGTTAGCCTCCTGTGAAACTGCAAGGAAACGACACCATATCAGTTCCAGCTAACAAAGAATCAAATAGAGAAGGGTCATTGTAGGGTGAGCAATATGTACAAAAAAAATTGATAACAATTATTTTGCTGTTTATATATACAAGGGACTACCTCAATCTGCCCATGTTCTTTGAAGGACAGCTTGATGAAGGAGTACTTGCTGTGTTGGTAGGGTCCAGGCTCCTTGTTGGCAGTTGCTGCATGCAGGTGGATAACTATTTTTGCACTACAGGATGAATGGCAATAATTAATTTACCATTTTCTTCTTGTAAATATTGTATTGTATTGTTTTTATCAAGTTAATTCATGACTGTGGAAATACTGGTTTGACAGAAAAATAAACATCTTAATTCCAGCTCCACCTACTAGTTCTTTTCCAGAGCTTTTGACGACAAGGGGTCTATGATCTTCTCCCCAAATACAACAACTGAGCATACTCCATCCACTAATAACAACAGTGATATTCAGCTGCAAGCTCAAGACAAATATAGTAAGTAGACCTTGATTTAAGTTATCTGGTTAACTTATAGACTACATTTAGGTATACAAACACAAAATTTTGTTGTCTGCTCATTTTTCAATTAATAAATAATCCTAGCTCCTTTCTGATTTTAGAAACCAAAAGATGCAGATTATCGACACTCACCTCTTTCCTATTCCTGCAGCCTGCTCCTCAAAGAAGATGATTTGTGATAGGGGCATGGCTATGCAGCATTCCTACAGATGGCATGAGAAATGCAGAAGTCATCATGATAGTCTGCACAATGTAACAGGACATATCTAGGAACACACAACCAATGCAGGCAGTGTGTTCACTGTTGTCTTACGTGATTTTTAACGTCCCTCCATATCAACCGATGAGTGCTCAACAAGACAACTCCAACATCCAGCTTAGCCTGGCGCAATGACAAGAAAGGATATCACGTTATTATTTTCGCATAATAAATTCCCATATACCTGAACTTCATCGGCAGCTTACGTGCACCGCCATTAAGTTATCGCTGCCTTATTCAACTGTCAACTCTAGGACATCAACTTAACGTTAGCTATCAGAAAGCAAAACTATACAGTTACCTTGTCATCGCCGTCATACAGTCTAACACCTCGTTGCTGGATCACTAAAGTTTCGTTTATTTCTAAGAGCCCATTTGACCACGAAAACCGGTCCATTTTCACAATTACAAAAACAGTTTCTTATTCTTATTCCGCTGCCGCGACCCATTCCATGTTTACTTCCTGTACGCTGTCCAAAATTGGCCTGGCAATAATTTCAGGGAAACACTAAACTAGACCATGAAATGGTTTGATTTAAATTACTAAATGGGTTGACTATAAATCACGTATCTGAACTGATAATATTACCCAATCTAAATGAATTTATTTTTATTTTTATATAATTTGCTGAAAGGTGTCTTTTCTGACAGGCTGCCTCAGAGGGTCCTTTCCGGTGTTGACGTTACTAGCGCCAGCTGTCAGTACACATTAGCATCCGTGCTATCTTTCCCGGCGTGATATTTTTAGAATTTTATAATGAATTTTTATATTTTGCACTTTCTATCGTAATTATCGCCAACACTGAATTCAAACTAAGATTGAACTAATATTTTGTCGCGTTTTCTAGTGTATTTGTGTTTAGCTGTGCTCAGTAGTAAGGTCGCTGTAGCTGGCTAGCTGGCTAGCTTGTTGTTAGCTGCGGACAAATCTGGTGCAGACAGGTTTTGCACTGCACACGCAGCTTCTCTTGTTTTGAAGTCATTGTTCACGGGCGGAAAGTTGTATCGTATATAAGGACTGTAAAGACCATGCAGCTTTATTACGGAGCCAATAGTCATTGCTTTAAATTATGCATTTGCTACATTATGAATTTAAATCAGTAAAGTTGGACCACTAACATTATATTTAGACGTAGAGTCACCCGAATGCATTTTATCTTGAATTAACGTTACCTCATCTGTTGTGTATTTATGAGTTGCGTGGTGTAATAAGTGTTTATTGACAACGAGGCGAACGTTTGTTTGAATCTACAAACATGGATAAGAAATCATTTGATATTGTCTTGGATGAGATAAAAAAGGTAGAGTGTCTAATCCCATAGTCCGATTAAATATCTCAAATCGTCTCAACTTCTGGGTTCGATTATTCTTTATCCTGTGTTTCAGTGCGTCCTGACTGATCAGCGGATCAGAGCCATAGAGCAGGTGCATGGATATTTCTCCAGTGAGCAGGTAACTGTCCAAACAGCTGCACTGTCGTGTTGTACCTTTCAGTTTATCCGCAGTGAGATCCTCCCGCTTACCACTATTTTACCAAACTGGATAGATAGGTTTCCCACAAATTTTTAAAATCCTTATGGCACAGTTTGTGCGTGCCATAATGAAATAAAAATGTAGTCCCAAAATCTCTCCATATGGCTCATAATGGAACTTGTGTGTTTTGGCATATATGTTAGATTCAGTGCGTGCTGAGGATAAATATGTATTTGCATATGTTGTTTTTTTGTGCTGAACAAAGGTATGGCTACAACTTAATATAGGAAACCTCATATAGCTTGAAGTTAGGGCTGGGCGATATGGCCAAAAATGTTATAACGTTAAATACGGATAATTATCACAATCAGTGTAAAATTGTTATTTCTTTCAAAACAGATTACAGATGGTTAATTGTGATTTTAAACTAGTCTTTATGGTTAGAACATGACAAGCACTTGATGCCAAACAGTGAATCACTTCACAAATCTAAGGTGGAACATTCAAAACAATTACGATGAAATCTTTTTTAAAGTCCCTTTTCCTCAACAAAATAAATATCTTAATAGAAAAATGAAGTGATAATCCATTTGTGATTCAAATGAATTAAATCAAACATTTATAGAACATTTGTTATATTGTTATTGAGGAAAATGATATTGCGATAATTGTCATTATTGTTTTATTGCCCAGCCCTAGTTGAAGTATCTTAATCAATGCTAGGCAGAATTCTCATAGTCTTTTACACTACTTCATACTAGAGCAGTGCACTCTAGTTTTATTGTAAGTTGTAACAGTGTCTTGAACATCTGCAGGTGATGGAGATACTGAAGTACTTCTCATGGGCAGAGCCACAGATCAAAGCAGTTAAAGCTCTGCAGCATGTGAGTAACAGATGTTTTATGTGACTGGGGCACCAAAATTGTTGGTTTGCATTGTTAAATATTTTTATGCAATACTATTTTGCTAAAAAATATATATATACAATAGAAGTGTGTAGAAACAACTACATCAGTCATTGGTATGTTTTAAAGTGTTAGTTAATTCTGTTTCTCCTTCTGTTGCCTTTAGAAAATGGTTGCAATCCCTACAACCAAAGTTGCAAATATCCTGAATTGCTTCACCTTCTCAAAGGACAGACTGATTGTCCTGGAATATATAGCTTTGTGAGTAAATTTTGAAAATGTATTTAAGAAACCTAAACAGACTTTAAAACACTGTAAGTCGTGTTGTGATATTAGCCTGTTTGGTTGTGAAATTGTTAAATCTGATTTTTGTTCCCATACAGGAACATTTCAGATGCTCAAAATTATCGCCCTGTGGAGGATCTGTTTCGCATACACTTGTCTGAGAAGAAGCGGGCTCGCAGGATACTGGAGCAAGTAAGTTCCCTTTTACAAATTTAACTTCATGGTGTTGTTTGTGTTATATCTAGATTAACATACAAAATCTATTCGCTAATCTCATGTGAATGTCTTGGTGTCTAAATACCGTGTAGAGTCCCATTGGTAGTAATTAAGTCCCAGGGGACAAATGTTAACTAGTGAGATGTACAGGGACACACAATTATTAATGCAATGAAAAAATAAAAAAGTTATCCAAAATATTGGCTGTCCTGTGTTAATGCCTTCTTTTATAGAGTCTATGGTTAATGCATTATCTTTTACCCTAAAAATTATAATTTTGTAATGCATGCTGTACACACAAGCAAACACACACACAGTTTCTGAAATAATACTACTTATTTATCATTAGGTGTGTAAGGTTGGCTGCAAAGCTCCTGTGGCCATGATCTCCTCCTGTGGTATGATACCAGGAAATCCGTACCCTAAAGGCAGGCCCAGCCTGGTCAGTGGCACATTCCCTGTAAGTATGTGCAGGGCTGTACTCTGGGCTTTACTGAAGGCTTCTGAGTCATGAGCTAAAGGATTTTATATAGTCTGACCACAAGCTAACCACCACCAACTAATGATAGAAATAAAGATGTAGGTTTTATTCTGTCTTTGGTATGTAGGTACCTATAGTTTACCTTTTCTACCTCCATGTCTCAGGATATTAGTGAACAAAACAAAGGTCAGAATCTATCATGACCTTCCGCACTGTCTGCAACACAAAATACAAGTAGAGAGTTTAAGGGGAAGATCTTCATAAAATGATGTTTTACATTTGACATACTAGAAACAGACGTTTTTTTTGTCATTTACAAAGTTCGAACATTATGTAAACAACAATGTGTGAATTACATATGAAACCTTCAACAAAAACTCTGGCATACAAAATAATTCCAAAAATACTGAGTATATTTTATTGTCCTTTTGATTTTAATTTAGACAGCAAAAAAAAGTGGCACACGTGCTTCAGCACCTAGAGGTTTTTCTGGATTTTTTTTTTTTTTTTGTCTGCTCAAAATAAGCCTGACTGTGTAAAAAAAAAGTGTTTTGTTTTTTGATCATAGGGAATCCCTCCAGTGAAGAAAGAAGGCGAGAAGAAAGAGGACAATTCTAACAATATGGAGGGGAAAGGAATTGCTTCTCGGATTATTGGACCATTCAAACCTGTAAGCACTAGAGTGGGAATCACTGACTGAGATGATGTCAGAGTGCCCCGGAGAAATCTCTTGACTGAGTGACGAGGCCTCACATGAGTAATTACATTACAAGATAAAAACCTCAACATATGTGTCAACCCATGTTCTATAAGCTAATGACAGACCACTGTGAGAGTAGTGGAATGGAGTGAGGACTGTACAGTAGAGGGCATAAGCAGAGTGTGTGTATATGTGTGTGTGTGTGTGTGTGTGTGTATATATATATATATATATATATATATATATATATATATATATAGTATAGTCAGAACACATTAACCGCAACCCTCCACATTTATATGTAAAACATGGAAATCGATTTTGCACGCTGTACACCAGCTATTTCTATATAACGGAAATCTTTAGTTTTTTCCGGTATGTAAGCATAATAGTGCTGAAATATGGTAACAGAAAAAAACAAAAACATTTTTACATTATCTGCTGCATAAAAATGCTTCATTTGTTGGTTTTTAAATGTCCATATAGACTTTTTATAATATATTTTTCTTTTTGTTTTTAACTCAGTGTTATCCACAACATAGATACGATGTTATCAGCTTTGAAAACTTATATTACAGATTATAATTTGACAGAACTGACTGATCAGTTATGTGTTTTTGTTTTTTCCTTTTCTAGTTCCCTTCAACCTACAACCCTCATCGGCCTGTGCCCTACCCTATACCACCGTGCCGACCCCATGCTACCATCGCACCAAGTGAGAAACAACCCACTTACAGTACACACATTTAGCCCACTTGCCATGATATCAAAATATATGAAACACATAGATAGAGCTCTCAGTCAGGAATAAATATTGCTGCTTTGAGTGCCTGTAGTTTGGCATGTTTTCTTACTGCCATCTGGATTTGGTAGAGGTATAGTTAGAAGTGGGGTGATACTTACATTTGTGTGTATATATGAATGTATGGTAGACAATGCTAATATTTGCAACTGCTATGCAGGTGCGTACAACAACGCAGGCCTTGTTTCTATGGGAGGGGTTATAACTGCCAACGTGCCCCCTCCCCCCTACAACTCCACCCACAAAGTAGCAGGTATGATTCTAGTGTGCGCGCGTATGTGTGACAGCAAATAGGCACTCCTTGAAGCTTGCTGCCTAACTATCTGGCATGCTGCTTACCTGCGCTTCTCAAATATGATGCCTGTATCGGGTGAAGAATGTGCTTCTTACTACTATTGGAGTACACTGAGTGACCAGAAAAATACATCCCCCCTGTATATTTTAATCCAACACAGCTGTGTATTGGATTCCATTAATTTAGAACAGCTGGAGAGATGTCGATTCAGTTCTATCATCATCGAGGAGAGTGTAGACACATTAGATTGCATCAAATCAACTGAAATCACATTTTCACATAATATTTCTACAAAATACACACTAAAAAAATGGAACATTCCATTGAAATACTTTTCTATATAATACAGTCTAACACCACTAAACGGTATGAATACAAAAATCTAACAAAAATAATGCTAAAATAGTATTCAGAAGCCAATGTTTTTGCCAGGCTGTTGTATTGCATTGCAGTACAACGTGCTGGTACTTCAGTTTTCTGGTCAGTCATTGTAGAAGTATGTTTTTGTGAATTTTGAGGGCGGGTCTTTGATTGCCTGGACTGGTTATAGCTTCAAACTAATGTAATTAATCTTTTTCTTTCTGGAACCATGCTGTGTGCTGGCATTTAACATGCATCGCTTGGGGAATAACTTGTTTGGTTTTTTTTAATGCACTGTCTCATCAGTTTTCACAGTTGAAATACATCTTTTAGGGCCTTTGGGGAGATGTGTGGTCACAAGCACAAAGATGTCTCCAGTTTCATTAAATTGACAGTATGTCCAAAGCGGCGGTTTAAATAAGAACAGTGTGATGAAAGTTAATTTGAGTTTACCAGACCAAATCAGTTTCCCCAAAGGTAAGAAGAAGACATATTCCAATCTTGAAAATTGTTGGAATTTCTATGTAATAAGTTGCACGCAGGGATGCTCTCCGGCTATTCCTCCTTGCTGTGTCTCCTCTTTTTTTTATAAAGATGTGAGTGGATTGCTTCTTCAACAATAGTTTGTTGGTTTGTAACTTATTCTGTCTGTGTCCTAGAATGACATTTGTTTTAAACAATAACACTACTGTTCAGAAAACAAAAAAATCTGTCCTTTAATTTAACCGTATGCTACTACTTAAATATACTATTATATATATATAGTTCATTTTTTCCTTTTCTTAGTGGATTCAAACACCATGCCATTACCCTTTTCACCAACTTTAATCTTTTTCTGCTTCCAGGTTACGCCAAACCAGGCAATCCGCAGAACACCACACCTGGAGTCAACAGCGGGCCCCTCCTCATTCCTCATGGGTCCACGCCTTCTACCCCTGTCCAACCCCAGACTTCAGCTGCTCAGCCTACTCCCACAACCCCTATCACACCAGTTTTCCCCGGCATGGTGCCCTCTCACAACCCTAATGCCCCCTCTCCCTCCCCTGCTCCATCGCCATCTGTGATCAGAGCAGGTCCACAGACCCCCAGCGGCCATGCTACACCTACACCCTCGTCTGTCATTAAAGCCCACACCCCTTCAGGCACCCCTTGTGGAACTCCTGTCCCCAGTAGCGGGGGCTTCTCCCCTTCCTCCTTCCATGTCATTTCCCGACCAGGCACCCCTGCTACCTCCCGCAGCGGCCCAGACCCCTTATCTCAGACAACCCCCATGGGCTCAGCTCAGCAGAAGGTTTATTCCACAGATCACCAGTCAGGACCCACCCTCCCTGGCATACACCCACAAGCAGGTAACCCCTCTGCATCAGTGATCCGAAGTTACACCCCCTCTGGACCACTATCTCTCACTCCAGGATCATCCACTCCGGTTATTCCAAACTGTTCCACCCCAGGCCTCAGTCCAAAACCCTCCCCAGTTCATTCTGCACAGGTTCAGGCTGCCATGGTTGCAGCTGGAGTCATGAACAGACACACAGGGGGTACTAACAGTGGCAGTAACAGCCCTGTGCCCTCTGCTTTCAAGGGCACCTCTCGCTCATGCACACCGTCTGTTAGCTCTCTGGTGATACCAGGTTCTGCTCAGGCTGCCCTGGCACGTTCCTTTGGTCTGTCACACCCCTCAGGTTCTCCTCAAGTCTCTCTCTCTAGTCCTGTTACAATCACCGGCCTTCAAGCTCTATCCTCCAGCCCAGCATCTTCTCATTATCCTGGCCTGTCCCACTTTCCCTCCCTTTCTCCTTCCACAATCCCTTCATCCATGCCTGCAATGCCTCCCTCTACCAACATTTCTAACCATCCACCAACCTCCATCTATCCAGGCCTGGCTCCCAGTGCTGCCCCCAGTGCAGCCTCCGCTTTCGGTCTGGGCCTCACCTCTGCCCCCTCTATATTCCCAGGCCTTCCGCCTGGTCAGTCCTTCCCAGGATTGGGGGTTTCAGGAGGGCACGGTGCCGGGAGCCCTGTGTTATCCTCATTCATGGGACTACCAGGGGCCACTCCATCTTCAGTAGCGTCGGTGGCACCACTGCAGGCAGCAGCAGCTGCCGCAGCGGCTGCAGCTGGAGTTCCATCATCATCTGCAGTTTTACCAGGCTTTGCGTCTGCTTTCAGCTCCAACTTCCAACCTGGGTATGTGAGCTTTAAACATTTTTACTGCCCAGTATACAGAAGTCATGTCACATGGATAATCTGAATTAACCCTAATGATTTCATATTGATTTTTTAACATTATCATTTAGTATAAATGGAACCTATCTTATACTCTTATATTTCTAGTAAGCAGTTAAAAGTGACATGCAACATTTATTGCCACTTGAGTGTTTAATAGTTGGATAAAGCATCATAAATCCTGTCCCTCAATTTTTCCACTTTGGGTTTTATGTGCTAAGTGAAAACCCTACACCTACAAAGTTCAATGTGCACTCGTACTCCTATTCTAGAGTGTCATGCCTAGACTTGGGTTGTGAAGTTATTTGCCAACTCTACAAGTTATTTATTGTCAGTGATATATTAAGCATGTTATCTTGTCAATGAGCAAGTGTTGCAAATCCAAGCCTCACCTTTTATGTCATGCACTCAAGGCAGGTGGCGTCCTTAGAAGAGCTCCGAAATGAGCAAAATGTACACTGTTTATACATGGGGAATGGTAAAATTGTGTAGTAAAGTAATACACAATTTTAAACATATACACATAAGATAAATGACATAGCCTACCATACAGTAACTTCCCGGAGTCTCTGCTGGTTGCCCAACACACAGAATCAAATTAAATCAAATCAAATCCTAAACACATTGAACAAAGTCATTTTTTGTCACATTAAAATTAAAAATGAGATCTGTAAGCACTGTTATCAGCATTTTGTTACAGAATGATGTGGAATATTCCAATTGTGGGAAATTGTTCTGCGTGTTACAGGTTGGGCAGTGGACTCCAGACTCCGGGAAGCAGCGGGTTCCCCAGCTTGCTGTCTTTCCCTGGGGTGCCAGGCTTCTCTCCCTCTACCTCCCCTGCTGCACTTGGGGGCCTCCACAACCAAGCCATGCAGTCTGCCCTGCTGCAGGTACAAACACACACACACACACACACACACACACAATCCTCTGGCAGAGTAAAAGAATTTGAATGTCAGTTTGATAAAGCCTCGCTGTTACAAAAACACTGCTTTTCTTTGTCTTGTTTTAGGCTCATCCAACTTCTGCATTGGAGAGCTTTACTCCTCAGCCCAACAGTTTCACCAACTACCCACCAGGCCCAGGAAACCCCTTCCCCCTCCAGCCAGGCCTGCACCCCCAGCTGGGTTGGCAGTGAAACCCACAATACACTTTGAAACACTGAGTAAACTTACATGCCACCCTTATCATACACCCTGCCCTACCCCTCAGCAGTTGACACGTTTTATTTTTTAACTCTGAAGGGCACATTGCAGGTTGAGGAGTTTCAATTATGTGTATGTTACAGACAGAATTACTTACTACTGTGAGGAACACTATTGTGAAAACAGTTGAAATAGTGTGTGGGGGAGATGGAATATTTCTTATATTATTCATAGTGTAAATTACAGATGTAAATATTAGTTGTCAAAGTCGTTAGGTTTTACAAGTAGACTGTGATTGGTTTTAACTATACTGAACTTAGCTGTTTTTATCAAGTTTATCAACATTTATTAGTGAATAATGAATTATAGAGAAATTGTACATGAAACCATGTAATGACTTGACAGTATCCTCATGTAGTATTTCATGTCCAGTCTCAGTGGAAAGGACATGCTTATGATACTAATTGCTTGTCCTGAATTGAATATTGTATTATGAAATTAAATTTCACGTATGGTATATTGAGTTTTATGGCACACCATGGATATTTTAAATGCTTGCGCTGTCTCAAGGGTGGGAGTGTTGCACACACTTGGATATGGCAGTTTGACTCATGTTTGTGTTATTTTCAGTGAACACACACCCCTGGCTCAGTCGGCAGTTTACTGTAACTCACATTGTGTGTCCCCCCTTCAAGTACTGTTATTACAGTATTTGACCAAAATGTACTGTATGCAGATGTTTGTGAGAATAACCTGAAGCATTAATTGATTGATACGTGGCCTTAACATGTAAAATGTCTGTATTCTTCAGTAATGCTTTGCAACATTAGCGAAAACTGTAATTTGCTATACACCTCAGTACACTCAGAGACAGTTGAGAGTAATAGACATGTTTGTTACGCTGTTATTTCTGTTTTGCCCTTTTTTGTATTTGTTGGATTTTTTTGTCAGTAAACTGCTGGTTGTTGTAGCTGTTGTATCTCTATTCTATGCGATGCCATGGCTATCAGGAAAGCCCCTTAAATTAAATTTCTGAAGGTGGACAAAATAATGGAAGTATTGCATGACATGCAGATTCTAAACTTAACAATCACTTACTTTCTGCTTCAGGTTAATAAAAAGCTTATTAACGGGGCAGAAGGACATCCTCATGCGCATACTTAATTGTATCAGCCAAGAAAAGGATAAAAGTACAGCTGTCAGAGAAAGACTAACAGGATAGTTGTTAAATATTACAAATTGCAGCCTAAATGTGACCAGATCTTTGAATTTTTACTGAAGGTTGTGCTCACAATGACACCTTAATTGAAGTGCAATTAGTTTATTTCGTTATTTTATCCAACCCTCAGTATTATATTATAAGGTTTTACAGCCTGATTACAGTCCAATTAGAGCTCTACACTGTGTTTATCACGAGCAACCGTAATGTTGCTCAACACACAGTCATGTGTCAATTACCCATGAGACTTAGTCATGGAATTTCAATAAAGCAATTTCTTTTTTTCTGATTCTAGTCATTTAATTACCATTATCTGCTTAACCAAACCTATTAAATAAACAACTGCGATACACTAAACATTCAATAATTAGGCATATGAAAACACGTGTCTGAAGTTTCTTAAACATATTAAAATGTGATACATTTCATTTCAAGGCACATCTAATCTGATTTTATCTAGATTTGCTTTTTGTAAGAATTGACACTACATTAATTTATATAATTTCAGTAAGTAGTTAAGTAAGTTAAGGTAAGGTAATTATTTCACTATTGAATCCCTTACCTTGCTATTTATTCCAAAGCCTGCCTATTTTATAGAAATGTTGAATTCCCCTCATCTAGTCTTTTTTTTTTTTGCTCTTTCTATGGTCTAGAAATAGGACTTGTAAAGTATGAGATTTTAATAATGTACACACACAATAAAACATGGATAACTATAATAGGTTCTTTCTGAATCAAGTTTTACAGTCACATGATACCCACCTTTTAAGTAGTTCCTCATTCGGGTGGGAAGTGAAAGGAGGGAAAGTACAGCATTATATTATGCATTTCTTCAGAGAATTTATTTTATTTTATGTTAATTGTGTTGGGACTGTTAAGATTCACTGTATAAAGACCACTATTGGCCGTTGCTTAGTGACTAGTAGTTAATTACTAGTATTATTACTTGTTACCGATAACTACTCTGTTGATGATCAACTCAGAGTCCGAGTCACACCTACTATATCTCTGACTAAATGCTATTGCAGCATTACAGCTTTAAAAGGCTGGGTCACTCCCTCCTGAGAAGATTCACTTCAACAAACCCTCTCAACACACCTCCCGTCTCAGCTTCAACCAGCACATGGAAATGGAGGACCAAATGGAAAGCCAGAAGAGAAGAGGAATGAGTAAAGAAGATTTAATATGTGAGATAAACCACATTTCCTTTACTGTCTTTTATTCTGAGCTTTAATATTACAATAGGGGTTTGCGGTTATAAAAAGTAAAATATTACCAGACTTGGTTTAAGGCTTAAATCAACAGTGTTGTTTACTTTTCCCTGAACCACGAGTTCCATGTTGAATTTGCATCGTCATTATATTGTTCAGGTTGTTTTGAGCGTATTATGCATGTCATGTACGTAGGAGCTCACCTGTGCAGGTAGAAAACAGCCACAGAGGCTAGGGCAAAGTAGAACTCCCATTGTCATAGAGACAGAACTCACACGTCACTGAGATAAAGAGTCATTAAAGCATGTGGCTGTTGAGTGTCTCCCTTCATTCGCGTGTGTTTCTGCATCCATGCTCTGTGGAGTCAAGTGAACAAGGAAAGGTCATGTTACACAGCTGGGTTTGGCTTGTGTGTAAATGTTCCTTAATTTGCTTGCCTATAACGGCTTATTTGAATATCAGAGGTGTTACAGCATAATCGTTTTTTCAGGTCTTTGTTATGACCAACTTGTGGCATGGGATCAGCTGTGTACACACCATGTGCGTGCTTCCATTTTCAGTCATATTTGTTGATGATACAGCACAAATTAATAAATAATGAATTGGTTGCACAGATCATAAAGAGATTATTTGTGCACAGACCCAGTTAGAATTTCTCTTTCAATGAAAATTGGCACAGTGTAAGTTACGATTATATTATCCGCATAAACTTATGCATTCCCATTCCCGGTACTATCATAGATCTTGTGAAACAATGGAAGAGAATTTACAAGGTTCTGTAATGTGCAATAATGCTACATTATGTGAACATATTGTGTGGTGAAATCCATTCATTGCACAACAGGAAACTATTGCCTGTGGTTTCACCACAAAAGAGAGAGTAATGTTGCTTTTAATGATAGCAGGACACAGGAAATGTGTGAACTAGTTACAATCCATTAACAGCAGTTAAAAATAATATTTTATCATGAATTTAAGGACAGTTTTAATTACACTTTTATTTATCCAAGGCTGAGCTGGCGTGCTCAGATGTTTTTTCTTGATGCACACCTGTTCATATCTCTTTCTCTCTCTCTCTCTCTAGCTGAACGGACAGGGTCTTTGGGATGCATTGGTTGGTTCATCGTCATAGTCTCTGGCATCTTCACAGTTTTCCTCTTCCCCATCACCATCTGGTTTTGTCTGAAGGTGAGTGAACTCACCAAGTCACCACAGTTAGTTAAAGAGCAGAAAGCCCTATTTCCTTCATAGCAAATGTGAATGTGAATTGAGCTTGTGCTGTGGTCTTCCTGCCGGTGTTGCAGATTGTTCAGGAGTATGAGCGCGCCGTCATGTTCAGACTGGGACGCATTACAGACAGGAAGGCTAAAGGACCAGGTAGCAACACTAACAATTTCAGTTTGAAAAAAAAAATCTTGGATTGGCGATATCATTTGTGGTTAAAAGAAAAAGGTTAATATCAGATTCAAAGAAACCAATGTCATTTCTTTTACTGAAAATCCATGCTCTTACTTGTTTGTCCACAGGGATTTTCTTTATCCTGCCGTGCACTGACTCCTTTGTGAAAGTGGATCTGCGAACAGTTTCATTTGACATCCCACCACAAGAGGTAGAGAAACACAAAACTGTCTTTTTTGCAGCCTTATAAAACATTTAAAGTAAATATCTGCACTCACACACAAACACACACACATAATCTGCCATGTATTTCTAGATCCTGACCAAGGACTCAGTTACAGTTTGTGTGGACGGAGTGGTGTACTTCCGGGTCAGTGACCCCATCGCCTCTGTGGCCAACGTGTCTAATGCTGACTTCTCCACCCGTCTGCTGGCACAGACCACCCTCAGAAATGTCCTGGGGACTAAGAACCTGTCTGAGCTCTTGTCTGACCGTGAGGGCATCGCTCACAGCATGCAGGTACAGAATATAAAAAAACATTTAAAGTGAAAAAGAACTTTGAAACTAGAGCATATTTCATTTCACGCTTGAATGCACCAGCAAAATAAAATGCATTCACCATTCAATGATATTAGAAAGTTGTGATGTGGTTTAAATAGATTTTTAGAATTTGTTTTTAGATAATTATTACTGACTGGGCGGCATGATCCATTTTATAAGAGGTGTATTTACACCACTGGGATCTGAGACATCTCTGGCCCCAAAAGCATGTTAATTTGGTGTTTCCCTGTTTGCTGAACGTGTCTCTTAAAGCACGGCCCCATCCTTCAATCACATTTGCAAGAATTGTGAAAGACATCTGGTTTGGCTTGGTTCCCTTGATTTTTCATCTCTAATGGACAGCTTTATGAGTGAGTTTCCTCTGTGGACGGTATGGATGTAAATTCTTCCTCTTTCTGTCTTTTTCCAGAGCAGCCTCGATGAAGCCACAGACAACTGGGGCATCAAGGTGGAGCGTGTGGAGATTAAAGATGTGAAGCTGCCACATCAGCTGCAGAGAGCCATGGCGGCTGAAGCAGAGGCTGCACGGGAGGCCAGAGCCAAGGTCAGACCATGTAACAAATGCATGTGCCATAAACCTGTGCACACACATTTAATATTTATTATGAGAGAACATTTGCATTATTTTCTGGTGTTTACTTTTAGGCCAGTTATTGTGGGCTACCCTTATTTCTCTTTGTTGACCTACGTGCAGGTGATTGCAGCAGAGGGTGAGATGAATGCATCTCGTGCCCTGAAGGAGGCGTCCCTCGTCATCGCAGAGTCCCCGTCGGCCCTGCAGCTTCGCTACCTGCAGACTCTCAACACCATTGCAGCGGAGAAGAACTCCACCATTATCTTCCCCCTGCCCATGGATATCATATCTCACTTCATACGGAAGTGATAGCTCAGTTTGCTGATCCTCTAAAGTCGCTGTTGAGTAGGGTCACATTTCTGTGGCTCCTTCAGCATGCAAGATGATGCTATTGATGTATGGTTGACATTTCTCTCCGACTGACAGTCGGAAACACCTTTATGGTTTATGTATATCCAAGCTGTGATCAGGCCAGACCTGCTAACCAATGTGATGCAGATGAAGTTCAGCGTAGTCCGTCTTTGACAAACTGTCTTATGTAACTGCTGTCATTTGTCATTAAAATTACATAATAAAGTGCCTCATTCACAGAATTATATGATGTAATGTTGATCAGTTGCATATTTTGTTACATTAAATGTCAAATTTTTCAATCTAACTGGTGAGGTTTTAATCTCAGTCATACATTTTGCAAAGCTTCTGTTAGCTATTAGTTTATGTTTTGTCATGTAACTGTAATAGAACATGTTAGTGATTTTATCTCTTCACCTGAATAAAACACTCCCTTGGCTTTAGGTCACACTTTTGAAATACGCAGTGGCAAAAGGACACTTAAGAAATCCAACATTTTCCATCTATTAAGATTTATTATGGTTTTTGTTGTTGTAGGTTATGACAAGGTTTAGCATGCAGCAGGATATTTGATATCAGAAAGACCAATATCAGCAACCTCTAAACATGGTCGTTTTGTCCAAGTATACTTTGATGCTTGTGATCAAAACCAGTCCTGAACATCTACAGAATGTTGTTAACTACAGTAGGACAACTACTTGTATCCAGAAAACATGTCAGTTAAACACTCTTAAACTTAAGAGGAGAGAAGGACTTATCCTTAAATGAAACATGGACATGCATGTGACATTTCTTGGATGTTTTTTTAATAGTGTGTTCTTCCCCAAAAAGTACAAATAAAACTATCAACATACTGTGTATACATTACATGTTGAACTATCATTCCACGTCCTCTAGGCCTCCTACTCTACAGTTACATTTTGACCATTACAGACGCAGAGAGGTAAAAGAAGAGAAAAGGAGAGCGAGAAACAGCAAAGACAGAAAAAACATGCTTCTATTAATTTTTTTATGGTGCACTAAGACACAACTCATGTTGTAAATGTATTTACATTCAAACATACAATCAGTGCCAGAATAAACAAACTCTGTAAACTTTGTCTCTGGACCAAATCCATAAGGGGTAATTGTATAGCTTACCTCCAAAAATTCAAATTCTAAAGTTTAAAGTTGACAGGCCATGAAAACATTTGCTACAACAGCATATAAACATTAACATGGATGTTTCAATCCCTAACGAATTAAATCAATTATCCATGTTTGTTGTGGGGAGGCTCAACCAAGTGCTACATATTGAATGGCTGCTACATAGTGGTCAGACAATAGGTCCTTCTATATTAAACAAAATCACATGAATTACTTGTATAAAATGCAGTCATTACATTTTTGACATTCAGCGCGTGAGACACAGATGTCCACAGGACACATTGAAGGGTCATTACAATGCCAGTTCATTGTTTAGAAATCATGTTCTGTTCAAAGGTGAAATATTCATTTAAGATGAAATCGGTAACTTTACGCTGTCATTTGTAAACAATAGCTTTTGTTGCATCCTTATAGACTGTATTTTTTGTTTGCACCTGAAGTGACCTTTAGGAGGACCCTGAAGAATCATTCAATGACGTAGGTGAACTGTGATCCTAAACATTTGAAAACACAGTGACTTTCTGACTGGTATATTCTTGATCATTACGCAAAGACATTCTCAAAATCATCAGTGTATGTATAAAATAAGTGAGAATTGAGATACACTTCTCAAATCCTTTGCTGACATTCTGTTGTTTAAGAGCATTTAACCCTGTGAATGTATCATACAAAACATGTTGAAGATCCACAAAAGAATCATTTTTACTTCACGACCATCAAAAGTGCTGGTATCGCAATTAAAGATCTACTTAAAAGTCTATTACTAAAAAAACTGGCAACCCAGAAACGTCATCCTTTACATGCTGGTAAAAGGTTACATTTACTCAACCTGTAATTTAACTGAAAGACGTGATCAGGGGGCGCTGAATTTCAAGGCCCCCGATATTACCCCCCACCCCCATGCATCTACTTAACTTTAACAATATTACATTAGTCCATTAGCAATGTTTCTGTAGCTGTCAACAGACAATGCAGACTTACCCTCACACCCTTCTCTCTGGCCTTGTTTATGTACAGAGGCTTATTTTTACGGTTGTGGTCTGAACAGCTGTAGCTTTGTTTTTTTAATGTGCGAGTTCATCACTGAGATTACACTGAATAATACTGTGTTTATACAATGTTGACTTGTTCAAAGCCAGATGAAAGATTGGGACCCTGAGGGTGACAGTCCAGTACAGTACATGAGGCAGCTATGACATACCTATGCTATAAAATAATTCTCATTTTTATATACCAAAGATTGGTTTCTAAGTTGTATTTTATATAAGTGGAAAATTATCTCGGGAAATATCTTAACAGTGTATAATGTTCTGTAGAGAAGCTATACAAAAGAAAATTGAAAGTATTTCTAATCTAAATTTAGAAAATAATTCCCTGAATAATATATTCTTGCGCACTGAGAATTCAGTGTAGCTTGCAAAAGATTGAACATAATACTTTAAGGATAAAAAGTCATTCAGATAAACAACCCAAAACACATCAGAAGAGGTTATGAAGAGGTCAACACAGGTTCAGACGGGGTTACACTAATCCTTGTGACACAGGTCACTCACAAAGGGGTAAACAGGGGGATAACCTGTGTTTTTTTAAATAATCTACATAGCTTATAGACTCATATCATATAAGACAGTCCCCTGAACACCACCCATGCACAGTATGTGTGATGACAACAGATCAAGGGATCTGCAGTATTTCCCCTTTTTCCTGGGGGTCCATCACACATTCCACAAGTTAACAACATCATTCATTTCCTTCACACCTCAAGCTCAATAAATCAGACAGATCACAGCAATAATAAAGTTTCACATTAAGACTGGAAGACTTCCACAGTACATGCTTGCTTAAGTAGCAAAATACATGTAACAAATGAATTAGATAAAAGCATCACATTTGAAAGAAATCCACATTTAAAACAGCTAATCCTGTGTTGGGTTTCCCCCTTAGCTTTGAGCTCCCTGGTAGCTGTGTTGTTGTTGTTGTAGTTGTTGTTGCTGTTGCTGTTGTGCTACAGACACAACAGACTGCACATTCCCGCTGAGGTAAATACAAAATGGCAGAAACAGTTTTTGCAAGTTGACCTGAGGGATCCCGAAAGTGAAGAGTAGCTCATGTGGGGAGGTGCTGTAGGAAGACCTGGCAAGGTTTGAACATTATGTTCTCTGTATGTTGCAGGTAAAATGGCTGGGGTTCCAGGTAGGCTTGTCCCACACAACTAAAATTATCAGCATTGGACTAATTACAAAATGTTAAATACACCTTGAGGAGGCTGAAAAAACATTAACAACTAATTATTTTTATCCAAAGTCCTTTGTAAAATAAAATGTTGGTTGGTCTCTGCTGGTGAGACGGCAGGACAGAGTATAAGGCGCTTTGTAAGGGATTTTTCCAGATTAAAAAAACATCAGTTGAAAGCTGATTCAGTTCATGACTAAGAATTGCAACTCAACTTTTAAAACTTAATGGACTATGAGAATCTGATCCCAATGAGAGTGGATATAGCTTATTTTATCAAGGGCATGGCCGTGTTTTTAACACATCAGAGTATTGTGTTCTGGTGACAAGAGTGTGCTACTTTCCATCTGTACTGTTTCTGTCTGTGTGGGACTCATGACTACCCATGCAGGGAGTTTTCACTACATGTGCTATATCTGTGCTACTATCATACAGTATATACAGTCTGCATTTCAAGACTCTGTATTTATACAAGCTGAGCTTCGGTCGTCTACATCCATTTCCCACTGCAGCATGTTATTTTATGTGTGTTGTGTTTCACATGATGGACACCACCATCTGTGGACGCTTGACTTTAAGAATCTGTAACCTCTGTCTGTCCAGTTTGTCCAGTGATGACTGGAGACCACAGCCCTTGTTTTTCTCCAACACGTACTTCCGTGCCATTCACATTCAAAAAGAGAGGAGGAGGGAGGAGAATGAAGGAAAAGTAACAGGGTGAGCCAGAAAAAGAACAGCGAGAGAGAGAGAAAGGTGTGAAATTATCTCTGCAAAGAGCTGAGACAAGCGGCTGAGTTACAGCGATTGGCTGACACTCTGTGTGTGGGTGTGGCCGGCCCAGGGGAGTAATTCTGATTGCTCGCCGCCCTGTGAGTGGGTGTGGCTGGTCCCGGGGAGAGATTTTGATTGGTGGCAGCTCTGTGGGACGGGGAGGAGTATTGAGCCTGCTGTGTACAGCCGTGGTAGTGAGTGGGGGAGTCGCACCCTGCTACAGGTGAGGAGGAGAAGAATTGGGATGAGGGGACCGGGGAGGTGGAGAAGGAGCGGTGCAGTGGGGAGGAGGCCGGGGACATGAGGGGGCTAGTCTGGAGGCGCCACAGAAGCTCCTCGTTGTTCCGACTCAGCCGCTTCTTCTCAGTGCTCTCCTTCTCAACGGACTCATGGAGGTTGGCATTCTCCTCGGATAGTTGCCTGCCATACAGAGGAAGCTAAATTAGTACATACTACATGAACAGTGAGTATAAAGTAGAGATTTACTGTCAATGACGAAAATAACGGCATTATTGATGATGATGATGAATGTGTCTCACCTGGATAGGGCTAGGTTCATTTGAATACGAGCCTTCAGATCTTCATTCTGCTGCTGCAGAACCTGGACCCTCTCCTCAAGGAACACGTTCTTTTGGGCCTGCTCAAAAGTAGAACACAACCACAATGCAATTTTTCATTCACCAGACGTGTATCCAGGCCAGTGTGCATTTCGGTGTGTTTGTGTAGTGGTGGTGGTGGAGACGGGAGTTGTGATGGCTTATTTGAGCCTACCACTTTCTCCAGATCAGAGATCTTCTTCTCCTGTTGGTGTATCTGCTGGTTCTTCATTTCCACAACCTCCTTCAAGCTCTTCAGATCTTGCTCAATGTGCTGGTACGGAGCCAAAGCATCCTGTTACAGGACACATGTGCACGTTCACAAATAAAAGCAAGACAGAGAGTGACTTGGGCTTTAGAAAGATGGCACATGTATTTCCAGTGATTCATAGCTATTATTTGCTTGAGCGTAGCTAAAACTCACAACTATCTGTTCCTCTGTACCCCTCCTCAAAGCCTCCTCAAAGCGTTTGGCTTTGTCCCTCAGAGTCTGGTTTTGAAATGTGAGAGTATCCACTTGATCCTGAACAAGAATCCACACACACCAACACAATGACATACATCGCCTCAGTACATATTAGTGTGCAGCAACCAATTCATGGATTCATACCTGCAGAGAAAGCCTGAGTTTCTCAAAATCCTCCTCTAGAAGTATCTTCTGCTGCTCATGCGCTTTCCTTAAGTCTACACACAGGTTCAGAGACAATAAAAAAAGAGAGTTGAGGTTGTTTATAGCAGTGCTGGTGTCATATTGTATTTTTTTAATAAGGTCTAAAATCATACCTCTCATGGTACGGGCGTGCTCCTCATGCAGTGTTGCCATGGTGATGTTATGCATGTCTCTGAGCTCCTGAATGGCTGCCTGGTGGTTGACTGTCATTTCTTCCACCTATCACATTCACACACTTTAATGACTGATTAGATTTCATGTGAGAGACAAGATCTTATCAAAGCTGACATAAAACAGACACATCTCCCACAATGCCTTTCGCTCACCTGTTCCTGTTGCTGAGTCCTCAGCTCCTCCATCTCTGACCGATGCTCTGCCTTCAGGTGTTCTGCCTCTGCTGAGTGACACTTCCTAAGCCCCTCTTCCACAGCAGCTAGCTCCGCTTCCTGCTGCAGCTGCAGTTCCTGGAGCTCCCGTTCAAACGCCACCTCCAGCGCGGTCTTTTCCCGCTGGAGTCTCTCCCATCGGGTTGAGTTGGATGCTGTGTACGAAAGTACAGTGTGTACTACTATGATGTTATCTTGTCAGATAGTGCAGAATACATTTATGTATAAACTGGGGTCAGGGTTAATTATCTTTCATTTTAGCCATATAAAATTTAAACATTCAAGTTCACTTTTCTTAACTTTAATGTGGGGCAAATTATATGGCATTTATTTATTGTTTTTCATTCAAAATATGATTTATTAATTTCTTTAAAATAAACAACAGAATGAAAAGGTATTCCCCTCAATCTTTCAAACTTTTTCAGAACAAATAGGCCTTTTTAACATAAGACTTTTTGATATCACAGGACGAAAGAGGTGTAAATAATAAAATAAAGATGTCTGAATTGCTTTTGGTTTCAGAGTCCTGCTATTGTGCATGCTGTCTCATGGCTTACTGGGAAGAGAGCCATTGTTAAAGTTATTAGTAACACCTGTGCTTTTCCTATAGTTATTAGTCAAAATGTCTGCTGTGAAAAAGTCGTATCTGTTCCCTGATTTAATTTTGTTTTCATCAAATTCACTCACCCATTTCCTCTCTGATCTTCTGCATTTCCAATGACAGTTTCCTTTGATTTTCTTCTGTAGTTTTATTCTGAAAATTTGAAATATAAACATTTTGACAGTGCAGGTTACAAGTACAATGTATACGATTAATTCCTACAGACATGCTTGCACCTATGTAAGGTTCGTGCTTAGGAAGAGTGTTGCTTTGAGCTAAATGCTAATGTCAGCATGCTAACATGCTCACAATGCGACAAATGCTAACATGTTGATGTTTAGCAGGTAACGTTTATCATATACATCATCTTAGTTAAGTATGTTAGCATGCTAACATTTGGTAATTTACACAAAATACAAAGTATAGTTGAGGGAGGCTGAGGAGGAATGTATTAGTTTAGCAGTTTCTTCGTCATTAAAGAAAGTACAAACTTTTAGAGCCGAGTGCTAGTGTGGCTAACAACAGGTAGCAAGTTAGAGAAACGTGCCTTTTCTTTCATCTTGTTCACAATGATTCCGTAAATTAATGTTCACTAACACTATAAGCTAATCACTAGTAGCCTTAAAAAAGAAAATAAGAAACCAGAGGTTGATATCTGTAGACATAGGCCTACTGTATAGACATTATCCTGGACATGTTGCTTCAACTGAATTTAACCTGCATGAGCTGCTTGATTAAAACACTACTTCAGATGCAGCTTATTGAATAAACATTCACAACTCAAAGCACACACATGCATACATGTTTAGAGCATGATGCTGTTGATCCAAGGCTATACTATAGCTATTGTGTCTGACTGCTGCCACCAGAGGGAGCTCAAACCTACTCAAATAGGCCCATCATTCCTGACTTCTTCAGTAGCTATATCTGTACTGTGGGCCAGTGATTGCAGCACTCAGACAGTGATCATAAAGAAGGTATTACAGCTATAGCACCCCAGAGGCTAAATCATTCCATCAGACACAGAGAGCTGGATGAAACCAGCTCAGTGACACACTGAACTCTGGAGGACCCTTCCCACAGTCACAATCACGCTTGCTCATCGTGCTGCTCATGGACCATGCTGTGAATCTCACCTCATGGTGTTAAATACTGTATGTGTTCTTGGGTTCACGTGTGTGTGAGCATTTGTTTTTTACAGTCTGGGCTCTGTTGTCCAGCTACATTGGATCACACATTATTCCTGTTAATCAGAGGTTGTACTGTGGGGGAAATAGACATGATGTTGTCCACCACTGATTAATTTGCCATTTTAGGCATTGGAAATTGACTCTGTATATATGTATATACTGCCATAGCATTATTATGGCGTAAGACAATGTGAATTTTATTGGGTGTATGTATTGTATTTAAAAGCTGGCTACCTTGAGGCAGTAATGCTGAGTGGTGATAATGAATGCTTCCAGACCCAAGGAAGTCTTCTTCAGTTCTTCTCTGAGAGCTCTCAGCTGCCTCTCCTGCTGCTCACAGCATCCCTGCAGCCTCTGAACCTAAGTGACAAAGAATAAAATACAACAGAATAGTGCAAACTCCATGTGGTTGCAGCATATGTCCTCCAACAACTCACCTCCTCCCTTTGTTCTTCTTTTTCCCTTTCCTTTGCTCGCCTCTCCCTCTCTCTTTGTTGAGCCTCCTCTTTCTCTCTCTGCAGGCTCTCTTGCTGTTCCTGCTGCAGCCTCAGGGGGGCCACGTGGCGAGGGGACCCGGGGGGAGCTGACCCTTGCACTGCTGCTGCGGGCCGCTTCCCAGACTGGACTGTAGGGAGAGAGAACAAAAACAAATATAGAAAATTCAAATTAAGTTGGAAATGAATCTGCATGAGCATGTGGAAAACACTGTACATTTAAATATAGAAATATTCTAATGATATGTACAGTATGATACCTTACATATGTCATTAATTAGTCATGGACCAATTCTTAAATCTAACAAGGACACATCTATCTATTATAATGATGTTGATGAGTATTAAATCAGAGGAGATTTGACCTGACCTATTCCTAATGACTGTGTTCACATGATAAATTATAGTAAGCTATAATTGAATGTCTTCTACAGAGGAAGCCTTGAGATAATTCCCAGTTTGGTGCTCCTTATGATGGGCCACCTAACCCTATAATCAATGTGATCAGTATGAAGGAATGATCTGCATCATGCAATTATATATACTGTTATTCTGGCATAAGTGCATTTGTTAGTAATGTGTTTGTGGTTAAACATATGGCACATTTAAGTAAAGGCTTGATCCATTAATGATGAAGGCAATTTAAAGGCCAGACAAACATGTGACAGCCATTTTTTCTTGGGGCACAAGCATTAAGCTTCAACTGACGTACACGCAGTCTGATTAGACTCCATATGAGTCACCTTGTAATGTAATGTGAACACATACTAGCCTGTGAAAATACAAAGCATCAGAACGCAGTGTGACAGATAGAGGAAATTGTTTTTTAAATTTACTCACACAGACTGACAGACGGACCTGTGTGTGTGTCTACACAGTACACACACACACACACACACACACACACACACACACACAATAACGAAATCACTGCAGCTCCACATCACCTGTCTCAACCATATCATTCAGGCCTACTGAAGCATGAGGAGCGGTCTCCATGACAACGAGAGGCTGGGCTTGGGGTGCAGGGTCCCAGGTAATGAGTAAAAGATTGGTTAGAGAGAGGTGGGGGGAATGAAATGAGGGGAGTGCTCTTGGCCACAGGTAAATGAGAGAAGAGAGTGGAGAGACAAATAATTCAATAGGGTGGGGGTAGGTACCTAAAGACACTGAATGATTATAATAGTGATAGACGTTTAAGACCAATTTAGAGAAAAGTGAAGAGCTAAAAGTGTAAATTAAACATATCTAAACTTGCAAATGTATTTGTGCAAATACATCATTGAATAGATAACTAAATAAAAAAAAATAAAAAAAAGGTAGATGTGTTTTCATGGAAATCTAGGCTTTGTTTCTAAAACTGTGCAAATCTGCTAATATTTCAATATTACATTTTCATCAGTGTCTTTGCCTTGAAGGCACATTAAGATTCCCCGTCTTTGAAAGCGACTAGAAGTCTTATGTAAATGATGTATTCCTTTTTTGCAGGCACACACACACATACGCGTGCGCAAGCTTACACACACACACACACACACACACACACACACACACACACACACACACACACACACACTGTAGGTTCTACCTGAAAGGTTAGGGAGAGTTGAATGAATACTAAATGGATTTATGTGGCTTAGTGTGGCGGCAGCATGCAGATGATAGCAAAAGGGGTTGATGGAGGAGGAATAATGAATGCAAGAAACAATGAGAAACAGTAATGACAGACCTTGTAAGTGTATGTGTGTGTGTTCTTTGGTTAAAGGTGGTGAGGTTGGGTTATTCACGAGGTAAATTGCATTTTCATTTACAACACATGGCACATTTCAACTCATTTTGCTGGCACATTGTCCAGAGCAGCTTCAAGTGGGAGCAACAAACTGACAGTATTTTTAAAACCTAGTAAACAACAGGAAAGCTACAGTGCTGAAAATCAGAGAGAAGATCTTTTTTTTTTATTATTATTTTGTGACTGTGTGGGAGGTGATGTTGTAAAAAGAAGGGTGTACAGTAACAGTAACACTTTAGTGAAGAGAGCAAAGAGAAAGGTTTAGCCTGAGGAGATATGTGTCAACTCTGCAAGGAATGATGAAGAAGCCCTCTGCAATTCTGTAGGAAAATTGTTTTACCACTGCAGAGCCAAGAGGAAGAAAAGTCCTGACTGCATGGATCAAATCAAATCACAACATAGAAGAAAGTGCTAAGCATTGTGAATCTCCCTTTCAAGGTGTGGGTTACCCTGGCACAACCAGCACGGGATATTTGAAATGGATGCAAGCCACTTCTGGGTGTGAGTGGATTAAAAAGAGGTGAGGACCGTTTCTGGACAAGGTTTGGGAAGGTAGACTATCAGGTTGGCTCGAGAGGAGGATTAGGGAGCCACAGAGAGCCAAGACAATGAAATTAGGTGAGGCCTAATGGACAATCCTTGTGACTGAAAGAGGAAGCCTTTTCAGAGCTGATATTTTGACTTATCACTGTAGAAAAAGCACAGGTTTAATTGATAACATATGTTACGACTGCTTCCTCTTCAGTTGTTCTAGCTCTAGGGCTCTGCTAATGTACATGCTGACATACTGAGACACTTGAATAGAATTGTGTCATTATTCATGTAATAAGTAACACCCTCTTTGACAACTTAAAATGTCTGCTGTGACAAAGGCATATTGTTGGGACCTTGGTCCTGTGTGTGTGAGATTACGTTCTACCCAATTGATGAACTTTGCATTGTCTTTGGGTGACAGTTGCACTACTATCATTAACTTAATGTAACGTGCATTTTGTGTTTGGAAACGAAGGAAAAGACTCACCTGGGGACTGAGGTTTGGGAGGAACCACTGCCAGCCTCTTTGGGGAGGATGGGAGAGAACGGGTGACCTCTAAACTCCGCTGAAACTCCTTCCTGCCAACTGTCAGTCAACAAGGATACAATCAATCGGTGGTCATTGTTTGGCTTACTTTAATCAGAATAGCACACCGTGACATTTAGGCCAATATAATAGATGACAAATTAAATGCAGCAGTAACATGTTAAAAAGCCCCCTGACATTTCTTTAACTTTATGGCTTTCTGTCAAACTTCCTCACACATACACACACAAGCATCAATCTAACCATCCTTCCCTATCGACATTTCACTCTCTCCCTTTTTCCTCTTTTCCATTTATTTTCAGATTTTTCCCCTCTCCTAACTTTTTTCAATCTTTCTGTTACCCTCCTGCTTTCATCTCCAGCTACCTCCCCCCTGCTGCGTGGTATAACTATGCCCCACGGGACTCTGGGTCAAAGCGAAGCAGAGCGTATGAGGGGAGATGTGCCCATCATCTCCCTGCTCTCTGTGACATTGCACACTATGCAGCCAAGACAGACAACAATCAGTAAACTCTGTCACAGTGTCTGCGAGGTGTGTAGGAGTGAAGAAAGTAGCTGGATTTGAAACAGTGAATGTGAGGTACTTTAACCAGGAGCTCAGAATGGTTAAAGGTGGGGAGAAAAGAAACTATAGGGAAACAAACAGATGATAGTGAATAAGGAAGTAGGTTTCAGGAGGTTAGCAAGAAATCTGTTGTAAAGCAGAGAGGAGAGAGGCCTCAAAAAGATACTAATTAGACCTGTAATGGGAGAGAAGCCTCTGATCCTGAACAAATCCCCCCAAAACCCTGGAGAGATACTTCAGGCCTGCAGAGACTGTGTGTGTGTGTGTGTGTGTGTGTGTGTGTGTGTGTGTGTGTGTGTGTGTGTGTGTGTGTGTGTATTATGCAAACGTGGCTCTCAGAGTGACTCATTACTGCCAAGTGAACACCAGACTCACACACACACACACACACATTGTTACTAAAACCCAGTAAGACTGTCTAGAACTTGTATTTAAAGTTGGAATGTAAAGTCTTCTTTACACGCTCCCAAATACTCCTAGTAGGAGTTAGGTGAGAACATCAATATACATTTTTTCTCTGTGTGTGTGTAGCTGTGATGTGTTTAGCCTAGCTGAAAACAAAGACAAAGCATGGGGAAGCAGTATAGCCTCTATCAGAAGTAATACATTAATTAACATGCCTTCCTGCAACTCTAAAACTATTATTACTATAAGAATGCTATGTATGAAATTTGATGGCAATTCATCGTGACTTGTGAACCTGTCAGAATGCCATGAGACACACCTCCTAGAGGTCAACATATCTGGGGTCAAAATTAAACTTAACGCCTTTCTGATTTCTCAGTTTGTACCTCCCTGACTCCTTGACTCCGAGATCAATTTCCAGGTCACAGGTGGATGATTGAGGATCGAGGAGGCACAAAATAGGGAAATGAGAAAAGCCCTTAGATGAACAAGGGCTTGTCAATAATCAAGGGGTCAGATGTGCAACTGTCTAGGATAGCACTGCTGCAGTTTCCATTGCCAGCTTTCCTCTGTGCAGTTTTGTATTTGTATTTGTATTTTGCTGTGATAGCATGCCTACTAAAGTGTGTTGAGTATTTAAGCCCCTGAAAAACTTTCAGCAGTCTCTAGCAGGAGTTTACCATTAAAAAATGTATCTGTTTCATCAGGGCTGTGTGTGTGTGTGTGGTGTGATCAGATTTGATTGACTAGTGCCGATATCACAAGCAAACACATTTTGATTCAAATGTTGCTAAACTCTGACTAGTAGAAGCAAATATGTAATCACGTTTTTCCAGCTCAAGGAGCTTCACACTCTGCACAGAAATAATTTAAAAAGTACTGTCTGTGCATGACGTACAGTTTGACAAGAACTCCTCAGGTTTTTCTTCATTAATAATTTACAACACATTTAAAATCAGCTCTGGCCCACAGAAACACAGGTTGAGAGATATTTTCTCACAGCCACTACACTGTCTGCATTCCTAGCACACAGACCTGGCTGGGAAAAAAAAATACTACATTTATGTCTACATTGTTTTGCTGTGTAAAATGCATTTTGCCCCAGTAAGTTGTGTTTGGTTTTGAGATAAGCTGTTCACACTACAGCAAAGATGTCAGAGTTCTGTGTCTTTTATTCACTCAACCACTGTAAAAGTTTAAAGACATGCGTGTCTTTAAAGTGTGAGTGAGAGAAGTGTGATACTACAAGAATTCTGGTGTTAATTTCCATGTGTGAAAAAAAATACAACTGTGTGTGAAAAGCATCGCTACCGGTGCTTTTCTTCACTTCTGAACAGACCGCATCAGCACCGTCAACCAGGACAGGTGTGACCTAACAAGTTCATTTATTAGCAGTGAACATGTTAAATGTGTGGTGTTTGTGCTTTGTGGTATTTCACCATAGTTTTAAGAGCTAAAAGGCTATTTTAAGCTCTTTGGACTTGGTATTTTAACGTTTTCTAGGACATGAGAAAATGCTGTCATCATGAACAAGAGTACACTGGAAAAAAATGGATGAAAGGAACACTTGAAAGGCAATTCCACCCTTGGATATCTCTAACACAGCTCAAAACATTCTGTGAGTGATCTTGTAAGTGAAGTGAAGTGTGGTGAAGTGTGAAGCGGCTTCCAGTATTTCCCAAAATGACTTTCAACAGCCCCTGAAAGCAGGAGCTTGTACTTAGGTAGGTGCTACATTATATGGAGGCAGAGAAAATCTGATGAAAAGATGCATTGTTACAGTGAGAACACTGTATGCCCCTTCTACCATGGGTTTCTCGCTATACAAATATTTAACATTGGTGCAGAGTACTTAACAGTGTCGCTCTTTGATTCCCGTATATAAAACCTGTTACTACTGACATTTTAGAATGCTAAATATTCCTCTGCTTCTGAACCCAGTGCATACACAATAATAAACATCATGTATGTTACACTGGTAATTACATTGTTCACCACATATGTGACTTATAGAACACAATCTGTTCATTCCTGTTTGTTGGTTTTGACTGAATATAGTAGTTGAAGAAAATATCATAGTATTTTCTTTTTTGGGGGGAAAAGCATTAATATGACATTCAGTATTTAATTATTAATTATTATTAATTAATTACTGCAAACTCTTACATAATATTTTTAATTCTCAGTGTTTTTATAAAACACGTAATTTCTGTAATGGAACCAAAAATCAATCTCTGCTCTCCTACAAAAACTTTGACTGACCCCCAGGGGAGCTTCTTGGCTGGGCAGGCAGGTATCGCCGGGGCAGGGCTGGGGTAGAGGGCGGCTGGAGGCTGTTGCTGCGACATGGTACCCCTCTTTGGGGATCTGTTGACAGAGGGCCGGTGGTCACTCGGTGAAGAGGAGGCTCCTCACTCACACTCAGACCTGGAATACACAGAATTACATTTTGTTTATATGTTTATATGCTTTTTAATTTATAGTAGTTATGTTAGGATATATAATCAGAGTTTCCTTTCTGATTTGCTACATCTGAATTGCTCCTTTTCCAATCACATTTTGGTTTTTCTACTTTATGATAGGGCTGTCATGTGTCTGAATTTAGGTTCACTGGAGTGAGAAATGGCTTACGCTGCTGCCCCACTCAATCATTTTTTTGTTAACCTGGAGCGGCGCACTTATCCCGTTAACACACACACAAACACACACACACACACACACACACACACACACACACACACAGCAGTCCGATACACATGTTTACACAGCGACACTTCAAAGCTTGTGCACATGCACAAACAAGAAAATATTCACACATTAGCACAATGGTTATTGCTAATCCTGGCCTATTGTACAGCTATAATCTATAAAATTACTAGAGGATAGTTTACATACTTGCAATCAAACTGTCTTACACACTGCATATATCCTGCTCATCTCCCCATTCCTTATCAATAATCACAGAACAAACTGTGTGCACTGCTTCACCTTCTTCATGTGACAAGCAGGGATAAACAATTTAATGTAAAGCTACTTGTAATGCAAGAAGCCCAGCACAACTCGCATCCTCAGAGATCAGTACATTTTAAAAAATGTGATGGCAAAAAACAAAACAAACAAACAACAATAACAACAACAAAATACAGTGATGTGAAAATATAGATATCAAGAGTTTCTTTTGGTCTGCACTGTCTTATGTTAGAGCCCAGCCCCTCTCTGGATTAGAATAGCTCACTGCAGGGAACCTTATGCGCACTGGTGTAGATTTTTTTGGTTACCAAAGTGTTCTGCCTCCCTGTGAGTATACAAACAAGTGCAGAAACACAACACACACACACACACACACACACACACACACACACACACACACACACACTGAGCCCCTTATAAACACACTTCAACATTAGCTGCATTGTACCAGTGTTGATGTAAATAGTAAGTGGGGAGTTGGTCTGACACTAACTCATTAGGTTGCTTATAAAGCAGAGTTGCAAACTCTATGCAAACATATACATTTCTTCTGAGAATATATTTTTTATTTTAAGAAAACACATAAACATACCCTAATCAGTTTGACAATTCTTGAAAAAGAAAGAAAAATAATGTAATAATAATGTAGCCAGGCAAGCAATGTTGGCGCACATATTATAAAATCCAACATTTTCTGCTAATTTACTTCCAAAATGACCGACCAGATATAGTAGTGCAACACATAAACATATATGTATGCCTATAAACCCATACCATGGGTTTATAGAAACCAGGGAGCAAATTGTGCATACACACCTAGTCCATTCATTTTATTCAGTTGAGCCCTCAAGTTCCTTGTGTTCCTCTATTTATCATAATTTTTTTTGTGGTGTCAAAGAGTCACTATTGTTAACAGTAATGTGTTTTTCCTGTTGTATCTGAAATGTTTTTAGGGTCATAACAGACCTGAGGTTGATAGAGTATTGTTGTGTTACTAACAATATGATACAGTATGTGTGTAACACAATATATTACTGTATTTACATAGAATATACCAGGGTACATGGAAATTTATCAGTTAGTCCTGACAATACGTTTTTGGCACAATGAAAACTACATTGGGTTATTATTGTCTGTGCTATGTTTTGAAAAGTTCACAAACAATGTTACAGTGGTTGCTTTAGATAGTCCACGATACAAAAATGAACAGAATGGAAATTAAATTTGCTCACATTTGACTGGTAAAAATGGAAAAATACACATAAAAATACAAATGCTCAAAAGTACATACAGTACGAATGCCTTTATGTATAATTTCTCAATGCTGTGTCATGTGCTGCTCCTCACATTATTACATTATTAATTCTTTAATATCCTCAGTAGAGGAAATTTGTTTTCACAGTACTAAGAGCACCTTCAACATGAATAATACACAAACTACCCATTGTACACATATACACACAATGTACACATATCTACACATATTAGACAGAGTGGCATCATGAACATGTCTGTGAGTTTTACGCCCTTAGAGGCGCAGGGTACAAAACTGTAGGGCATACTTTTTTGTAGAGCAGCAGTCTGTATCTGCAGCCAGAGGGGAGAAGGGTGAAGCATGAATGGAGAGGGTGGCTGGGATTTTGTATTATGGTAGGCAGTGTAAGTGAGGGCTGGCAGGTTGGGAGAGGGAAGACCAATAATTATGAAGGACAGTCTAGGGCATGGGCCGTGTATCCAGGCCAGATTTGATATTGGACAGAGCACTGCAGTGCTGTTACAATTACAGCTGTCAACGTCCTCTATGTGTGGACGTCCACAAGTTAGGGTCTTTAAAAACTACATTTGTAAATAACAGATAAAATTATTTTGTTTTAAATCGTCTGCATTAACCCTAAATGCCTCGACTAGTGCTCCATTTTCTGGTTTGGCACAGATCAATGAACTACTTGATATGAACCGAGTTGTGCTTATTAATCATAGGTCGAGCATGTACGAGCAAATTCCCAGAGCACAGAACAGAGAGAGGATGAGTAAATGATGTCGTCGGGTAGAGATACAATATTGAGGAATGCTGTGAATGATTAAAAGCAGGGTGGAATTCAGGGGCTTGGAGAAAGAGAGAAAAAGGGATATATTTCAGTAACGGTAAAAGCAAGCTGATTTGCATCACTGATTGGCAAAGTGGCAGCCGATGATGGATAGCAGAGCGTGAGGAGGATAGGAAGAAGGAAGGAAGAGACTGGCTGTGCGGGATCAAGATGAAGCAAACAAAAGGATGTAAAAAGAGCGACGAAGAGGAATAAAAGATGGTGCTGTGGTGGAGCCAGTGGGCAAGCTTATGATGATGGATGAAAATTTAGAAGATATTAAAAAGGGGCCGTGAGCAAATACAAACGGCTGAGAACAAAAGACAGCAGGTTTTTCCAGCACAGTGGGAGGCAATTTTATTGGAGCAGCTTGCACCTCATAGCTAAACTAATGCAGTAGAATAATGCTGACTCTTAAATCTCAGTCCTATACACTGAACAGGAGGAGGATATTGAAGCATACCCTGCATATTCTCAGAGTGGTGAGAATGCATATATTGAAAATGGCAATGGAGCAATGTGTCACTTGCATGAGTGCCAGTTTTAATTTCATTGTAAAAATTCAGACCTCGGAGGTGTTTCATTTCACTGCTGCATGAACGGTTCTGTGCTTGTCTGCTAAATCAGCACATTCATATTCTGCAAAAGAAACTCTCCTGCTGTCCTGAAGGAATTGATCGTGGTGTAGTCTATCCAGGTTGATTACAGAGCAAGTAGCATACATCCAGGTGCACAGCTTGCAGTGCTGACATGCCAAAGAAATAGCTCTTATTCTTCAAAAATGTGTTGCCCCATGGAAATACGTCAATACTTTCAGCAACTGTTATGAATGGAATCATTGGGATATTTAGGAGACAGCTGGGTGGTGGGTTTGATGTAGAGAGATGAGGAAGTTATATAGTTCCTAATTTATTGATGTTTTGTAGGCATTTTAATAAAGCAGCAATTCCACAATGTAAAACATTACAAGTCATGCATTCAAAATTGCACTTAAGTAACAGTACAAGAGTATTATCATTTAAAAGCGGTTGAAGTACACAGAAAAAAGCATTACACAGATTGCCCTCTTTAAGAGTGATAACATTGTATATCACATTATTTAATTATTATTTAATATTGTAGCTTGTCAAGGTGGAGGTACCGTTACTTTATGATTATATACCGGGTAGTTTTGCTGATAGAAATGCATCATATTTTAAAAGCTAATCAAATATTTTGCTGGTAAAATCATAATTGACAAAGTAACAAGTAATTAAATCTGTCAATACTGCATTTGTGTATGTTTTGTGTAAGTTTGGTTGATTTTGAAGTCTAAACGTAATTGTGCCTGTTTAATTGGACAGAGATTGCACAGATGTCAGCTTCATTCGGCACAGTTCAATACAGAAGACTGAAGAAGTGTGTAAGTAAGCTTCAAGATTGTATTCATCAAAGCCTATAATCTGCTGTGCTTACTAACCGTTGCTTCCTGTGCACACACATTATGTTTAATGCTGTCACAAGAAAAATGTGGAAATCTGTCTAAACCTAAGCAACATGAAGCATTAGGTCTCAATATATGAAGCTGAAAACAAACAATAGAAACAAGCTGCTTCATCCACGCTGATTTCATCAAATTTAGATTTGATATTGGAGGTCCAGTTACAGTAGCCACCCTTAAGCACTTCAGTGCATCATGTAAGGGTAGCTGTAGCAAGTAGACTTGGCAGGTGACTGTGCCATTCAATATCAGAAACTGTGACCTTTAGTGACTTGATCAATTCGATCCGTGTCAGAACATATGCCAAAAAGCAGGACACGTTCAAGTTTTGCAAAAATATAATGCTATACACTGAGCATGACATTTTGAACTTTACTTACATGCAAACCATTGCAAGTGTTTGTTAGGATGACATGATGTGTGTGACAGGTAAATTAAATTCATGGTTTTGGAGTTAACTGTGTGTTTCAACCAATCAACTCCTCCTGGCAAAGAAAAAAAATCATCTGCTGCGATGTGTGTGAAAGTCAAGGTCAAAGTTGCATACATAAAGCACAAAGTAATGGCCCTGCAGAGACAAGACCTGGGCTGCAGACTGAGAGATAGATTAGATGATAACACTGGAGCTGACAGTAGCATCCACAGGCCTCCTGTCCTCTGTCAGGACCCAGATGTCAGGAGATTAAAGGTTCAGCCAGAAGGACATGTGAAATATTTCTCCTCTTATGGTCAACAAGAGAGCTACATACTGCAGAGAGCGGTCAAATGGCATCGTAAATACATGACATTTTAATAAATCACTAACTTTTCCCCACTGAGGTGTTATTTTAGGACTCATAGTATAATCTCAAAAGCATGCCTGGAGATAAAGATCGCTGGCTGAAGATCCA